CACAGTGGGGCCCAAGCCAGCCCCCATGGGGAGTGGGGGAAGAAGCACCACCCAACCCCACTCCAACCCCTCTGCTCTGACCCCATGCGCAGCCTCAACTCTACACCCGTCTCACCCCTAGTTTTGGCCCCTCCTCAAGCCTTGGCCCCTGCTCTGTTCCCAGCCCCGCACCGAGCTGCAGCCCCAGCCTTGGCCCCCTTACCTGTGTTTATCTCCACCCCCCACCCACCCCAGGAGCTACAGCCCTGCTCCTGGCCACATGGGGGAGGGGTGCACAGAGCAGTGTATGAACCATGAAAATTTGGGGACTACTGCTCTAGAACTCCACAGTCTAGCTTTTATAACTGCCTTTAACAATGTTTCTAATAGTTTCCTTTAGGAGACCCCAACCCATCTTCTAAAGTGTTAGTCTCTGTAATCCACATACTTAATTTCCCCACAATAATTGGGGCGGCGTGGTGGGGGCTAGTGAGGCTGCACTACAGAAGATGGTCTTACTAAATGTTTCTTTGCAAAATGGTATTTTAGAAGAGATATCTCAGATGGACAGTCCAATAAATCTTCATGGGTGAGAGGGCCTTGCTAAGGAAACAGTGGTGTATTTGATACGTTTTTCATCTCTTCATCAGGAAAAGCACAATGCCTCTCTTTAGTCCTACTGCATGACAATGAGACCTGTCTTTATAAGTGCTGCAATCACAGAATGTAGTATAAAACACCATGTTAGAAACCAGCTAGAGGACAAGATTCCTCTAGCATGTGGAAAGAGCCAGGCCACCTGCTTCTGGCTATCAAAGGAACCCCTCCCTTGCCCTGAGTGAAGATTTAAAATACTTTCTAAGTATTTGTGGTGTTCAAACAAGCCAAGACTAGGTTCAGTCACCCCTTTAATATTTGCTGCTAGTACAGAAGCCAAAATGTCTTTGTATCGTCATGATCCTAGAGGGAGGACAGCAGTCTTTGCCATTCTGATGCCTAAAGCATATGGGAGCACATAAGCTGGCTCCTACAGTGTTGCCTTGAGCCAGGAGTACGCATGTCCTTGGAGTACACAGCGGTCTTCCAGGGGGTACATCAACTCATCGAGATATTTGCCTAGGTTTTAACAGGCTGCATAAAAAGCACTAGCAAAATCAGTACAAACTAAAATTTTATACAGAACTTTACTACACACTGAAATGTAAGCACTATTTATATTCTAATTGATTTTTTTATATGACTGAAAAATTGATTCATTTTTATAAGTGTGCTGTGCCTCTTTTGTATTTTGTCTGATTTTGTAAACAAGTAGTTTAAGTGAGGTGAAACTTATGGGTACTCAAGACAAATCAGACTCCTGAAAGGGGTACAGTAGTCTGGAAAGGTTGACAGCCACTGCTTTAAGCTACCTAAACTCCAGTGCTTGGCCAGATCTGAAATGTAGATCATACAGTGAGCATGCATTCCTGCTGGTGCTGTGAAGTTTAAGCCCCACCTGTAAGAGCGATCCATACAGTAAGTCTAGTAGTCAGGGCTGGAGGTACACTGTAAAATAAGTGTCACAGGGGTTAGGGTTTCATTGAGAACCCCAGTTCTGAAAGATGCTTACCTATTTGAAGTGCTGATTAGGTGCATAAAACAACTCAGTCTGGAGGAAGAGGTGAGCTGATGTTTCAGCTTACGCACAATGTAGCTGAGGCTACTTTAAGGGTAGTAGCCAACTATAATGCACTGAAGTAGTCTAGCTGTAGCATGATTAAAAATAAGTGTTCTGCCTTCATCAGAGGACACAAATCCACTTCCATGGAGTTATTACACTGCCAAAGGCAGGTACAAATTAAGCTTTTCAGTAGAATATTCCATAACTCAGTGCTGGACATAGCTTAAGAAGCGGCTTTCAGCTCAGAAGGCTACTTTCTGGGAAAGATACAAGTAACTGAAAATAAGGATGGAGAATACATGAGGAGCTGACCTGTGGTCTGTTTAGTCTAGTAAAGCCTATTTCTACCAGGGACCAGCACCAGCTGCTTCAGAGAAAGGTGCAAGAATAATAGCACCAATCAATCAGTTATGAAATACTTAACTCCCTTGGTTGAGCACCAATCAATGAACAAAGAGGACTGGCATATGCCATTTGCACTTGTGGTGTGAATGGCAACCACCTTCACTACTGCTCAGGGCCGGCTTTGACAAAGCCCTGGGGGGGTTTTTTGGGGGGGGGTTGGTCCTTTTTGGAGGGGGGGGGACAGATGACCTCCTGAGGTCCCTTCCAACCCTGATATTCTATGAGTCTATGAGCATTGAAGTATTTTGTATTTATTTGTATGTACCATAACTCCTTGCTTAATGTTGTAGTTATGTTCCTGAAAAATGTGATTAAGTGAAAGAATGTTAAGTGAATCCAATTTCTCCAAAAGAATTAATGTAAATGGGGGTTATTCTAGGGAAGTTTTTTGTTTGGTGGAAAAATTTTTTTATATATATATACATACACACACACACACACACATACATACATACACACACACACATATACACACACACAGTACAAGTCTTAAACAATTTAATACTCTACACAGCAATGATGATTGTGAAGCTTATAAGGGAACTGCACAACTTTAAACAAGCATGTCCCCCCATTGATCAGCAATGAAACAATGTTAATGGGGATGACTAAGTGAGGAGTCACTGTACAAATACATACAGAGCCATGGTCCATGCTGAGGACAACTTAGTTTATGGTCCTGCTTCTATATCACTGCTGTACAGGAGTAGTCTTATTGAATCCAATGGGACTACTGTTCATAGTTACATGTGTGTTCCCAGGATCAAACCTTAAGTGCCAGAGGAGGGGGGAGGATGCAATTTTTTGTTTAAATACTTTCTCTGGTCAGTTTCCTGTAAGTATCACAGCAGAGTAAGGGGGGGGGGGGGGCAGCTGATACAGCAGTTACCAGGATGCCACTGAAATCTTGGATTTATCACAATGCCCCAGTGATCTGTTTTCACCTAGAAGAATGTTGGGGGTATATTAAATACTCTATTATACAGGACCTACTACAATGGGGTGCTGGTCCAAAACTGGATCTGCTAGCCTTATAATACACAAAATAATCTAGGTGCTATTCCTTCTTAAAACCAATCTTTACAATAGATGGAAGAACAAAGCTACCTCATCCTATAAGTCTCCTACCTCACTTCAGCACAGACACATTTACATTTTATACAGCACCATCCCCATTGGTGTTAAGTATTCAAATTAAGTCACATTACCCATGCATAAAAATGCCCCCCCCCCCCCCCCCCAAGTTAAAATTTCTACAAAAGTCCTCTAGGCAGGAGTGGCCAATCTGAGCCTGAGAAGAAGCTAGAGTTTACCAATGTACATTGCCAAAGAGCCACAATAATACATCAGCAGCCCCTCATCAGTTCTTCCCCCCCAGCACCTCCCCATCAGCTGTTTCTTAGCATGCAGGAGGCTCTGGGGGCAGGGGGAAGAGGATGAGCGAGGGCCTGTGGCAGAGCCAAGGGTTGAGCAGTGAGCACCCCCCTGGCACAGTGGAAAGTTGGCACCTGTAGCTCCAGCCCCTGAGTCGGTGCCTATACAAGGAGCCACATATTAACTTCTGAAAAGCCACAGGTTGGCCACCCCGCTCTAGGCTGTTATTTACAAGGTTAAATGCTACGTTCAGGCACTAGGCTTGAGTAGTCCTGCAGCATAATACAGCAGGCCAATCTTGGAAGAAGCTGTCTATTTTAGTGGCTTGATTGGTTTCCCCCTGAAATTCTCTTGGCATGTAGTAGACTATAATTCACACTTAACACCTTTCTTTTAGGAGATCCCACACCACTTACAAGCTATCACTACACAAATCACAAAACGATGTCACCAGTGGGTTAGAGCAATGGTTCCTAACCAGAGTTACGCATACCCCTGGAGGTATGCAGAGGTCTTCGAGGGGCTACAAAAACTCATCTAGAGATATTTGCCTAGTTTTACAATAAGCTACATAAGAAGCACTAACAAAAACAGTACAAACTAAAATTTCATACAGACAATGACTTGTTTGTACTGCTCTATAGACTACACTGAAATGTAAATAGTGATATTCCAATTGACTTATTTCATAACTATATGGTGAGAAAGCAATTTTTCAATAATAGTGTGCTGGGACACTTTTGTATTTTTATATCTGATTTTGTAAGCAAGTAGTTTAAGTAAGGTGAAACTTGCTGTCCACAAGACAAATCAGACTCCTGAAAGGGGCACAGTAGTCTGGAAAGGTTGAGAACCAATGGGTTACAGGGATAAATATGGTAATGTCTGCTGTTTCAAAAGGAGCACCATAGGATCTGTAATGTTCCTATCAAACAGGCAGGACTTCTGTTTATGGCCTTCTGCAGGAGATCCACGCAGAGTAAAATATACGGAATAATGTGTGTCTTAAGGATGAAAGGTAAGTCAACTGTAGTGGAATTTAAACCTAGATTTGAAAGGCTCCCTCTAGTGTAATGTTTCAAACATTAAACCAGCTGTGAAATGCCACAGCAGCTGCATCTTCCACCAGTACAAAGAACTATTAAATTATTTCTGACTGAACAGAATCATTAAGCTTTATTATGCCAGAAGGAAACTGGAACCTGCTGTTTATTCATCCCTGGCTGCTTCCTTCTCTTGGTTAATAAATGCCTGAAAACCCAGTTTTGTCTTTCTAGACTACATTATGTGGAAAGAACTATTAGAGTGCAGTTAAATCTAGGGGAGGTGAGCCTAGAGAGTCACAGCTAACTGAAGCTAAATCCTAAAAAGTCAGCATCCTCACTAATATCTGGCAGCGTGCACACAAAAAAAGCAAAGCCATTTCCATAAAAATCATATTTTAGATTAAAACTCCATTGAGGGCCTAAGACTACTGGACATGCAGCATTTTAGTGCAAATATTCTTGTTCCTTATGTGGAAATATTCTCACATGCCTTGAATATATTTAACATCGCAGACTCAAAGCAAGAGGAGTGAGTGAACTGTTAAAACATTTTATTATTCATAAATACCCCCTTATAAAGAGAAGACGTGCAAAAAGTAGAAGTTTCAATACTTTGGCTAACTACACTGTTTAAACCTCTCCAAACATAATGATGTTCAAACACTAATTTTTCAATTATTCCTTTGAAATCAACTTGGTGGATCAGGTGAAGGATATATGAATCTAATGAGAACTGTGCACAGTCGCCAAGCATCTCTTCTCATTTAGCTTTCTAGTCAGTCATCTTGTACATGACAGGCTGCCATAGCTCAAAACAAGAGGTGCGACAAACAAGCATGAAGAACTTCTAGAGCACTTCTAGTTTGAACTCCCTTGCCTTTTCTTAAAATAGCATAAAAAGAATATACAAAATATTAAGATACATTTACAGGCTTATCTGGCAGTTCTAACCAGTAAATGCTGCTTTAGACACTTCAGCACTGAAATCCATCCAAAAAAACCCCCAAACAAAACAAAACCCCCACACACAAAAAACCCCACAAAAACAAACTCAAAGCAGTAGGGGTTAGTTTCTCAGTATTGAAAAAAAGAATTGCTTTTAAAAAAAAAGTATAGGGATAACATGTAGCCATAACGTTTACCATCTCTGCACAACACAAAAGCATCAAGATCCATAGTTTGCTTCATCAAAAGCCTTCCTGGCTCGTTTCAGTTCTTCATTCATAGTCAACAGGTCTTTTACTCTAGCAAACTTCCGTGGGTCTTTACGGATCAAAAAGACAATATCCTCAACCTGTACACGACCCTGCCGTCCAATTGACATTGCCTTGTGTGTCTGTTTAAAAAAAAAGTAGTAAATGATTTCACTGAAAGTTATGCTTCCTTTTCCCTCTTGTAAGTTACCTTACACACTTTTTAGATGGTACACTGACACTTTGGTTCTAACAAGCCAGGCTTTGCACTTTTGAAGAGGAAACCAATAGTTCCAGAGATTGAAAGCCACCATCCTAGCTAAACTATGGTCAGGAGAGCCTTTCTAGGTGGTCTATGAACTACCTTTCACACTAGTAAAAAAAAAAAAAAAAAAAAAAAATCAGTCTTTTAAGCAGCAACATTACCTACCAGTTATTTACTATTTGCAATACCATAGCAGCTATGAGCAAGATTCATGGACCAGGATCTATTGTGCCAGTCAATATGCACCCCACTCCAAAACTCAAATAAATAAAATCTGGAAATCTTATTTCGTGGCAACTCACATATAAGTGCTACATTGTAAGGTGCTTTGTCATAAAAAAAAAGTCACAAACATAACATAAAATTCACAGCCAAGCCTATGTCTGCACCCTGCACAGCTGCTTTGTGCCTTCACTGAGTGCGTGTGCGTGTAGTGAATTGTCATCTAACTTGCTGATGACACCAAAATCAGAGTAGCCACAAGTGCACAGGAGGACAGGCCTAACTTGCAAAATAATGTAGAGATAGAGGAGTACTGGGAGTTGCAGGTAGTGAGAAGAAATTAGGAAGTACAGTATATAAAACTCCTGTATCCCAGGAGAAGAAAACACACAGCTCAGTTAAAAAAATGGAATCCAGGAATCCCTGGCTCAGGGCAACAAGGCAAATCTTCTCTTACAACAATAGAAATGTGAGCCAATGCCCACACAGAGCATGCAGGACTTTTCTTTTCCCTTTAAAAGTATCATCTAAAAATGCTATACACACTGTTGAATGCAGGAGATCATCAACCCTGGAAGGATGAAGGGTTAGTGACTTCTGGGGTGCAAATCAGATGATTAATCAGCCAGTTACTGGATTAGTTCAAGACATTTATTAATGGTTTAAATTTATGCAAGTTTATTTTTTTTAAAATTATAGGTCTTTTTAGTGAAAAATAAAAAAAGCCTACTTTTAGAGTCTTTAGAAAACTAAACCATTCCCTTCCACTGATTTTTTTTAGAAAGGGCTTTCCTAACCACTGTCCATAACTAAGAGTTATTTGTTTTTAAATGGACTGCTCTTTCTAGTCATTACAGTCCAGAAACAAATTAAGCACATTTTTTAATATAACCTACCATCTCTGTGATGAACTCTATCACCAGGTCTTCAAGAATATCTACCGATTCTGTGTAGGGATTCTGGTCATCTCCAAACCCATACATCATACATCTTACTGGGGAAACAGAAAACATAGTATGACTGAAAGAGCTCCCTTGTTCCAGCTATGCAGCAGACTTAGCAAATGCAACAAGTTCTTCAAACAAATGCAAATCTACAAGTCTGTGCAACCCAAACATGATAGAATTGTGGTAAGAATGACATGCAGATGCCATGTGGCTGTTAACAGAAACCATATTAGCAACAACCATTTGAAATACATTCAGTACATGTGGTACTACCGGAACTATGCTTGACAACAAACTCTAGGATCAGGATACTGGATTAGATGGACCTGGGTCTGATCTAGGGTGGCTGTTCCTGTGCTTCCAAAGAACAGTTTCTATAATGGTGATTAAAGTGATTTGTAGTTCAGAAAGCAATCTAACAAGTTAAAAGGGCTTCATTTTTCAGCTGACAATGATTTTCAGCATCCTAGATCAGTTACCAGAACTTAACGTAAGGTGCTTGTCTCCAAAGTGAACATATTGAGGGATCATATTCCCTGTGGTATGGGTGCAGGGACTACACAATCTAAATTGTGACTCTAATTAGGCAGCAGTACAACCTGTTGCCTTCTTTACAGTTACACCGAGCTGTATTACAAGTTATACAACAATACTCCCACAGAGATCCTGGGGGCCTGTCACCTTGACTGGCTTATTTCAATTTACAGCTACATCCTCATTTAACAGACTATAATCCCCAGAAGAGTGAAGAGTACCCTGGTATGCCATAAATGCCACTCTCAGAGAGCCTAGGATGGGGGGTCCTTACTGACCTGGACATGGACACACACACACACACGTCGACTCACGCTCTTTGGAGAACAGCCTTTTCCTCTTGCCCTGCCCACCATCTGGGCCTCCTCCGGCTTCCTCAGTGTCTTCTTCAAACTAGGGTGAGGCAGACACCAGAGAGGGAGATCAGACAACAGCACAGCAGACAGGCCCAGGTGGTCACACAACCCAAGCTTCTTCCCTCTGCTCCCCAACATCTCAACCTCCCCATAAGGATCTCCCAAGCCACCCCAGAGTTACAGTGTGGGGGGATATATGTCTAATTATGAATTCCATTTGAGCATGAGAACTATTTGTACTTAAGACCCAAAGTAGAGCTCTGTGAAACTCAAAAGCTTGTCTCTTTCACCAAGAGAAGCTGGCCCAAGAACCAGTGTTGCTAACTCATAATTGTGTCACGACTCTCATCAGAAGGATTGTTTTCCTTAAAGCCCCAGCTCCTGGAATCAAGTGGTTGTGTGATGATTTCAGCCTTCATTCTTAAAGAAAAAATAAGTTTCTAGCCCTTCAGGCTATGGAGAAAGCCTCAAAATGTGACCCCAGTGCAGGCTAAAGCCTCAAAAAGCAGAAGGCAAATAAAAAGAACACCAAATCTAGTATTTTTACATGATCTCATGATTTTTGGTGAGCCTGACCCACGATTGTTGAACGTTTGGAGTTGGCAATATGGATTTAACTCAGTCACCTTGTCTCTCACTCTCTGTACTCACAACAGTCAGCCTGGGAGGGAGCTTCCAGTTTGTGGCAGAAGACAGACTATGTCAAAAGCTGAAACAGGACCATAAACCTTCAGTAGCACAGATGCTGGAACTAGGGGTGCCACACACCCCCGGGGGCTTGAAGCGGTTCCCATGATACGCAGGGTTTACAGCCTGGTTCAGGTTTCAGAGTAGCAGCTGTGTTAGTCTGTATTCGCAAAGAGAAAAGGAGTCCTTGTGGCACCTTAGAGTCTAACCAATTTATTCTCTAAGGTGCCACAAGGACTCCTTTTCAGTTTGGTTCAGTGGCTCTCAACACCCCCCACTATACACATTGTTCCCGCTCGGTAGCCCTACCCGGGCTGGGCAATGGGGATTCCCGGCTAAGCCAGTGACTTGCCACATCCTCTGCCAGCACCCGTGTGTGTGGGGGGGGGGGGGGGGGGGGGGGGGGGGGGTGGAGTGGAGGAGGGTGTGTGGTACAAGCTGGAGAAGGGCGGCGGCGGCCAGCACACGCGAAGCAGCCGGGAAAGGCCCCAGGTGGATCTTCAGAAAGAGACACTCTCCCGGGGCCCCTGCAGCCGGTCTCTCCGGGTCCCCGCCAGACGCGGCAGCCAGACCCCGACGATCCCCAAAGTCGTTTCCCGGCGGGGGCCGGGCCGGGAACGAGAGACCTTCCCTTGGCGGGAAGGAGGCACCGGGGCCCCCCAAGCCCTAGTAGCTTCACTCACCGGCGGATCCTCCTCCTCGTCCGCCATGTTCGCCGCAGCCTCGCACTTCCCCTCTGGGCGGCGCCATCTTGTTGTACGGCCCCAGGCCCGGCCCCGCCCCCCGCTGCTTCACCTGCCCCGCCCCGGCTAGGCCTCGCCCCGCGCCCCGGTGGGCTAGCGCCTCGCTGCTGCTGCCGCCTGAGGCAGGCGGGCGGCGAGCCCAGGCTGCCGGGGCCCGATTCCCCCCCACAATATACCGGAGCGGGCAGGACCCAGAGCCCTATTGCCCTGGTGTGTTCAGCAGTGGGGGAGGGGCGGATAAATACCCAGCTAGGCAGAGCCCCTCCAGTCCCCCCCCGGACACGCCGTTCTCGGGAGGGGAGAGATTCTGCCACCGACACCAGCAGCTCTGGGGCGGGAGCCGCCCCGCTCAGGGGCTCCCGCGGGTGCAGCCTTTCAGCCGGGGCGCGGGTTCGATTCCCGGGGGCCAAACTCTGAACGCGGCCCCTCGAGGCTCACTGAGGCGATTGCAGGGTGCGCTGGCTCCTGTCCCATCCTGTGCTGGGGGCTGAGCGCTACCGCGGGACACCCGCCCGCCTGGGGCTGGGCCCTTTGTTTTCACGGGCGCTATTACCCGGGTGGGGGTGCCTGCCTGCGCCTGTGGGGCGGGGTGCTGTGACTGGTGCGCTTTGCTGGGAGCTGGGTGGTAGGAGGGGCAGGCACCTGCTGAGGCCTGGAGGGAACCAGAAGAACTTTTCTTCTCTGCCAGGTGACAGGGGACTGAGCGGGGTCTGGCTTCAGGGGTGGTCCCCTGCAGCCCCCTTAGACCTTTTACACGTGGATTCTGCCTGTATTAGAGGAAAGGGCCCAGGGATGTGAGATGTTTTGGGGCTTGATTTGAAGGGGGAGTAGGTGGACGTGATGGGACATGTTTCTGTGTCAGGGAGGCCGTAAAATATTTAAACGAATTAAAGCAAAACTGGGCCCAGTCAGGGAAGTCATTCTCACGAGCCAAATTGAGAAAAGAGTCTGTCTGAGACCCATTAATATGGGGGACTTGTTTAGTATCCTCTGAGCTGCTCCTTCCCCCATTTCTGGTCTGGCTTCTTGCTCTAGCTGGGTTCTCCAATAGCTGTTCTGTCTGACCTGTAAGATCAATATTTCCCATTTTTGTTTTCTGCATTTTTTGGCTGACAGGCCTTTGTCTTGCAACTTAAACAAGATGAAACAGAGCCCATCTTCCAGCGGTAGCACTGGCCGGGCCTCCCTGCTGCCCGTTAGAGTTCAGGATGCAAGCAGAGCCGGTCTATACACACCTCAAGCAACGTATGTGCTGCTGATCTCTAAGCACACTTATGCTGATGTAACTGAGAGGAGGAGGGTTGTGGTCATTTGTTGTGGACTTGGTGTGAAGAGATTCACTGTTACGGTAAAGGGCACCTGGATGTCTAGTTCACCTCTAAATACATCTCTGAGTGACCTAGTGCAGGGGTTCTCAAACTGGGGGTCGGGACCCCTCAGAGGGTTGCAAGGTTATTACCTGGGGGGGTCACGAGCTGTCAGCCTCCAGCTCAAACCCCACTTTTCCTCCAGCATTTATAATGGTGTTAAATATATAAAAATGTGTTTTTAATTTATAAGGGGGGTCGCAGTCTCAGAGGCTTGCTATGTGAAAGGGGGTCACCAGTAAAAAAGTTTGAGAACCACTGACCTAGTGATACTGATGTAAATTTATAGTGTAGACCTGGCCTAAGGCTAACATCATTTCAGAGAGGTGGCATTGGTAGTACCTCCTGTAAATTTCGCTTGTGTAGGCAGGTTCATGGAAACAAGAACACCACAGTGACTTGACTTAACAGAACACTGTCCATTTAAAAATAGCAAAAATAGTTTACAATGTATTATCAACTCCACATTAGAATTTTCAATATGAAAGCTTTTTAAAAGTCCTTTAAAGGGACAATGTCTACTTGAAATCTAGTAAATTGTCAATTAAAATGAGTTAAAATAACTATTATGACACCTGCCATCTAATCAATCCACTTGCCTATTTTGGAGGGTGGGGGGGAGTTATGTCACACTTTTTTATTTTTCAGTGTTTTTTCTTTCCATTGTTACTGTGTAAAAGACCCACACAAAGTGAGAAGACTGACTTCACTGGGGAAGTGGTGAAACTGTGCTTTTGACAGCATTGTGTAAGTAATCAATTTTTTTTTTTAAAATACAGAAATACAATTAAAATAGATTCCTAATAATCTTGGGTTGTGTAACAATAGTTGTGAAACTACTGGCAGCACACTCATAATGCTTTAAATGACAGTGTAATGTTTTGTGATCTTTTCTCTAGAGAACTATCGAAGCTGAACATATCTAAGTACACTGGTGGCTCTGACGGAAAAATCAACTTCTCTGTGAGAAGGTACTGTTACAATGCCTCCTGACTTGTTTCAGTCAATATTTCCAATATAAAATAATGAATAATTAAAACTCTAGGCTTTAAAAGTGGCTTGCAAAGGGGGCAGGGGAGGAAATAGAGATGTGTCCTTTTTTGCTATTTGATGTATAAAGAAGACCTAAAATATTTGATTTCCCCCCCCCCGGCTCTTTTTTTTTTTTTCTGTTTGATTGTTTCTTTCATTAGATTAGAGAGTAGGCACATAGGAATTGTGCACAAATGCTATGTTAATGAGAATAATGTAAGTGCATAGGAAGATTGCTATCCTGTATGAGATCACTGTAGCAGGTCAGATATTCCTCTGAAGCATGTATGAATCGCTGTAATTGGACAGTTGTGGAATAACCTGCCTGTGGGGCAGTTTTTTTTTTCTTAACTGCCTTCATTAGATGTTTGGTTTATGCTTTGAAGCATGAGGATTTTATAGTTCTTGTACACTTTGGATATCCTATCCAGTGTGATTCTGGGTATTCTGTAAATGCTAAAAGCCCACAGCGCGTGATCCAAAGCAATTTAACCGTCTCTGTTTGGTTTCAGGACAAGTGGTTCTGGAGCATTGCGAAATACTCCATGGGGCTTTATTGCTGGTACAGAAAAGTTAAAGGATCTCAGGCCACTTCATGACAAGACTTACATCCAGCAGTGCATCTGACAGCTCTGTGAGGTATACCTGGGTTCCCACCCACTGTGTCACCAATATCTGCTGCATCTGCTCATAACAATGTTGTACTCTAAATGCAAACATGGGGTGCTCTCTTTGGCAATAGATTAATTGGTTCTGTTACAGCATTAGGATTGTACATGTGATACACAGAAGATAAAACTGAGATAGCTTGTGATTGTGTGGAGAAACTATGATAAGCAGGTTTCAGATTGGGGAGAAAAGTGGTGGTGCTCTAATCAGGTTATGCCCACAATCCCAAAATAGCTGAGTTTTTCTGCTAAAATGAGCAGTGAGCAGTTGATATTAAAATTGCCCTAATTAGACTTGAGAATTAACATTGTGTAGAGATGAATAGGGCCAGTTTGCATCTCTCTCCTGCATCTTAGTAAAGCAGCATGGGATTGGGTCATATTTGGAAGATTAGCATCTAGAAGGGCAAGAATAATGCCATTTGATTTAGTGTTTTGTTTTTAACTGAAAATTTAGTTATTGCGGATTCTGTTGAGCCATCAGAAGTGCTGGCACAAGGAACATCTGTTCAATCAGTCACTTTTTCAATGAGTTGTTTACCTTCTGCTATGATTATCATTGTTGTAGATTTAACAGAGAGCATATACAAATCTCAGCTTATTCACTGGCTCATCAGACATGAATATATTTTTTTCTGAGCCTCTCTATCTCCCCCTCTGAATGTTAGTCTTCCAGAAATGTGTGGCTGTAATGAGGGAGAGTTCTTTGTTTTAAATTGAAAATACCCATTCAGAATGTATTGATCAGTGTATGTATATTGACTTCTATTAGTAGCAATGAAAATGTAATGTTCCTCAAGATAAATGCAGACATTGACCTCACCTTTGTCAAGATCTGATTAGGAGTCTCTATTAATCTTTGTGTCTGTTGCCTTTCTTAGTTTCTTGTGGAGAATGGCTATGCCCAGAATGTGTCTGTGAAATCTCTCCAAACTCCATCTACTAAGGACTTTTGCAGGATTTTTGCTTTTATATATGTTTTTTTGTGCCCTTCTTATGAACTTCCTGATTCTAAAATTGAAGAGGAGATCCCAAAAGTCTTTAAAGAACTTGGGTATGTACCAGAGCTGATCAGAGATTGTATAAAGTGGGCACCCTTATGTTCAAAGGGACAGAGTCAAGATAAAGATCCGGATTAAAAAAAATTCTGAAAACAACATAACATTGATAACACTTTATCTTTTTCTGAAGGTCCCCACTGTTGAATCCAGGCTCTGGTGTGTGAACAAGGCAGTGGTTCTTGTGTCAAGCCCTGCAATGGGACCCAGGTGCCCTTTTGGTATACAAGGTGCCAATTCCTTTCAGTGAAGGCATTGCCACCCGGTCACTGCAGCTCTCAGACTCCATGACTGTCTGACTCCACTCAGCCTCTGGTTGTTTTTTACTTTGTGTTCCCTTGGGGATATTCTGCTGTCCTCTAGTGTTTCAACCTCAACATTTTTCTCCGCCTTTAAGCGTTTGAATTGGCAGGAGAGTGAGTTTGTGTGTGGGGGTGGGGGTGGGGGTGTGAGAAAACCTAGATTTGTGCTGGAAATGGCCCAACTTGATGATCACTTTAGATAAGCTATTACCAGCAGGACAGTGGGGTGGGAGGAGGTATTGTTTCATGGTCTCTGTGTATATAATGTCTTCTGCAGTTTCCACAGTATGCATCCGATGAAATGAGCTGTAGCTCACGAAAGCTCATGCTCAGATAAATTGGTTAGTCTCTCAGGTGCCACAAGTACTCCTTTTCTTTTTGTGAATTGGCTCAATTTGCCAGTGTAGGTTCTAGCTACTGCTAGGTTGCAGTGTTCAAGAGACACTGGAAAATGCTTGAAGCTGGTACAAGGGCATCTTTAGGCTAAATATCCTAGCTTAAAACATTTGTTTCCCTGTATGACTTCAGAGTTACAGAATCATAGTTTTTAAGGCCAGAAAGAACCATTAGATCATCTAGTCCAACCTCCTGTGTAACACAAGTGATAGAATTTCACCCAGCTACTCCTGTATTGAGCTCAATAATTTGTTGTGCTTTAGTCCATCTTTATTACTAGTAATGCCAAAACTGTGAAAGCCAAAATAACTTACTTTGTTGGATCATATTAAAGAAGTTCTGTATTAAAATCACAAATGAGTTTGATTCCCCAGAGTTTAAATTCCAGGGTATTACTAATTAAGAGGTCTCTTGGTTTTTGGTACTGTTTCTCTCCCTCTATGTGTGAAACTTGCAAGCTGCTAATTGTGTTAGTACATTCTAAGACAGAGTCTATTCTCAAAGCAATTCACAGAGAGAGAGACTCAAAGCAATACTCTAACAACAGAAACAGCACCCAGAGACTCCCCACCCTTTTGTTGTATTAACAATTGTGATTAAAATAGAGATAGAGGATGTATGTGGATGGATGCTTGGTGTGGATAATAACTGAATGATCAGGGAGGTGCTAGCCTAAGAATCCAGTGTCCATCGGCTGAAGAAGGCGTCAAGTGGAAATAACCAGAGGACCCCTCGGAGGGCAGACTGGAATCCACCCAACAGCCTCAAGAATGGGAGAACCAAAGAACAAGATAACATCTTGGAGCCGTCAGGAATGTGCTATCTGCTGATTGATTCAGCAACAGCATGATGAAGCAATTCCCATAGACTGGCATAGGAAGAAATTCCTATAAAAATAGACTCTAAAAAGTGAGAACTTTGGGGGTCTGATTCTGCAAACCAACTTCCAGGAGCATCAGATGAGCATCTGACAAGGCCCTGCTCCCTCCTCATGTCCAGGCCACCTGGCCAGTGGCTTGGCATGAGCAACTCTAAGGCTGGTAACTATGATAACAACCTTGCAGAACCTGTGTGTGTGTGTGTGTGTGTGTGTTTGTATGAATGAATGAATGTGTGAATAAATATGAGATTGAATGGAATGTTATAACTAGAACTAACTGCTTACTATGATTCTTTCTGTATTCACAATAAATGTGGTATTTTGCCTTTTTCCCTTTAATAAGATCCTGCTGGTTTTTATTTTATTGGTACAACATCTTTCACCACTTCTGTTCTACGTTTTGCCCTTCCTTTATCATATACAGTGAAACTAGCTGGCTCTATTTTACTTTCTGGTTCCCATGCACTAGCAAAACGCTGTGATGTTTGGGTTTCTGATATTGCAGGGAAATACTTTGAGCAGTAGATTTGATGTTTCACACAGTCAGTGCCTCGGATCTAAACTGAAAAGGGAAACTCAAGTAATGTACCTATGCCTGACTAATCCCACTGTGGATTTCTTCCAGAACTGATGAAATCCCTTTGAAATGACACAGTGGGTTTTGTCATTTCTCAGTGATTCCAGATAAGTTGTACTTGTGACTGGTTTCCGCCTCTTCGCGTCCCCCCGCCCACCCCCGGGTGCCACTTGGAACTGTGGGACTATTGAGCCTGCCTAACCCGCCAGCCTGGGTTCCCTTTTACACTGTGGTTATGTGATAAGTTGCCAAGCTCTCCAAGCTTGCTCTTTCACCAGCATACACACAGATAGGGACACACCCAGCTGCAGCTTCACACACACATGCTGAGATCAGCACTGCATTGGAAGGCTCAGTTAAGGCACCTCCTAGTTGGTAAGGCATGGCCCCCCCTCTGGAGTGTAAACCCAAAATTATACCGTCTTGCACTGCACAGGGAACTGCAAAGCATAAGGTCATAAAATTCTCCACTCCCTCAATGTGGAGAGAGAGATGCAACAGCTTTCTGCCCCAAGTTATAATTTCCACATACTGGCTTTAGAGAAAACAAAAAACAAGTTTATTAAATACAAAAAAGATTATAAGAGAGAGAAAATAGATCAAAGTAGATTACCTTTGTAAATAAACAAAAACTGCAAACTGAGCTTAACACACTAGATAAGTAGGACATGAATTAGCAAATTCTCACCCTGAGTGATAAACAGGCTGGCAGATTCTTAAGGCACAAGCTGCCTTGGCTTTCCCAGGTTTTCATACACAGGCTAAAATCCATCTAGCCTGGGACCATCACTTCCCACAGTTCAGTCATTGCCCCTCAGGTGTTTCCAGGTGTGGTGTTGTAGGGAGAGTGAGGTACAATCATGATGTCATTTTCCCTCTATATATCTTCCTCCCACTTGCTGGAAAGCTCTTTTCCTGTGACGTGGGTCAAACATTTCCCATTGTGTAGTGCTCTCTCTGAGGTTTCTATTGTACGCAGTTCCTGGGGTAATACTTGTGCTTGTGTGCATTTTCTTAATAAGCCATTTTTTCAGGTACAACAGGAAAAAGGCCTAAAGGCTGCTTGTGGGTGTTTTCAACCTCATAACATGATTCAATAACACATACGTAGCCAAATTTCATAATTTCACATACGACAATAGCAGATACAATCCAACGAGATATTAATGTCTAGCAGATCAAGACTTTTAGAATATCTCAAAGGCATACTTTGTACAAAACATATCCTAATTGCATGACAGTGGTGAATATTGGGGTGCCAGGGTGTCACAGTACTCAATTTACAACTTAAGGGTATTTTTCTAATTGCCGGTGCCACAAACCCCACCTGGTATCCAAAAACTGAGTTGTGCTTTTTTTTTTTTTTTAACTTCTTTACAAGTGGCAAAGATACTGCAATTTGACCTTAGCTGACAGAATCAGTTGATGCATATAAAAGGAATAAAATCAGTTCATGATCTGTAGTGTTAACAATAGTGAACATTCATCAGAAAAATAGGCAGAAGTCTGTGTGTGTCCAATAAATCAAATCTATTTGGCAGGGAGATGTCTTTTAATTCTCTGCTGATTACAATCCTGCTCAGGTAATTGGAAACTGCTCTAACTCTTCTTTCCTTGTAGGTATCCCTTTCCATGGCCAAAAAGCTCCATGTACACCATGGGTGCACCGCATGTCTGGCCTCAGGTTGCCGCTGCACTAGTGTGGTTAATAGACTGCATCAAGGTATGATGACAAAAAGGGAGGTCAGCTGTGATCCAGTGGATCTGAGCTGAGCAGGGAGATATGGGTTCTGTTGCAGGCTCTGCCATTGACTTTGGACTAGTTAAGGCCAGAGTTTCAAAAGTATTTAGGTGCCTGAAGATGCAGAGAGCCACCTAGTAGTGAGATTTTCAAAGAGCACCTGAGCGAGGTGGGAACCTAACTCCCATTGAAATTGATGGGTTTTATGTACCTCACAGGTAGATGCATCTAGTTGGATTTTCAAAAGTGCCTAACTGCCTTTAAAAATCTGACACCTAATCCCTATACCCTAGTTTTCCCTTTTGTAAAATGGGACCAGTAATACTTCCCTACTGCACGGCTGGGTTGTGAGTATATATTCATTATCTTCTTTAAAGTAGCTGGAAATCCTCAAAGGGAAGATGCTAGAGAAATGAAAAGTAGTAACTATTACAAATAGCAATACCCACGGTGTGTAAGAGGAAAGAATAAACAAGAGAAAACAGTCTACATTAAATTCTGATAGAAATGAACTGAAGTTTTAAAACTATAATCCTCCAAGATCCAGAATTGTCTTCATACAGCCTTAGGGCCCTACAGCAATATCTTAAATTCAGAAGCTGTCTGGCTTTTTGACTGCAGATATAAGCAGGCAAGGCTGCTGAGGTAATGTCTCTGCATCTGTTGGAGGAAAAGTGGCTTTTTTTATAGTAACTGCCTCTTACCTTAGCCACAGTCGATCAACTTCTTTCTGTCTTCCTCTAGAAAATTCCTTTTTATTGGCAATCTTTACAAGTGGTGATACCCAGCTGGGCACATGTCAGGGGGCGGGGGAACAGTAACCCATTTCTTGTACAAAATCTTGCAGTGTGGTGTTTGCTATTTTATTCATAGGACTTCCTGGTGTATTTAAGGTACACCTGCCCTGTTGACTACTTTGTGTCAAGCTGCAGTGCTTTAAGCTTATCCTCAAAATATGTTTTCTCTTTCCTCCCTTTGAGATCCTCCCATGATTTTCATAGTGTTTCCTCAGAATCTGCTATGCCATTAAAGCGTTTGTCTCTTTGAGATGTATTGCCATTAACAGATTGAAGAGAATGGGGTATGATCCCTGCAGTATGAATCTTTTTTGACCACATCAGTTATGTTAGTTCCGATGTATGTGTCAGTTATCTAGGTGGTGTGCAGGGGCTTGTGTTTCACTGTAAAAGTCACAGACTATATATACTGACACTTAGTGAAGAGAACTCTTCCCCTTTGACAATTTAACAGGCTGCTCTGAGCAGAATGTTGTACCACTCCCATTAATCCTGGGTATTTCATCCATTCTTTCCATCGTTCCTACTGCCACTGTGTCACAGCCAACCATCTACTAACACAGATTCCAGTGCTCCATCAACAGATGTAACGCTATTCCGTAAAGTCAGGGGCTCACTTGGACCAAGTTACTGTGTTAACCGAGCAACATTTCCCATGTAATTTTGCTGAAGGAGACTTTTTTTACTCCTGGGGGAATTCTGCAACAAAAAATTTTAAAAATCTGCGCATGTTTTAAAATAAATAACAATATAATCACACCAATTTCAATTATTTTTGGTCATTTATTTCAAAATACCAGTCAGCAAGTAGGTGTGTAACAATACAGACAACAAAAAAGATTCAGGAAATGTTTTTTGAGAAATAGATTCCTTACTAGGCATATTAATACAGAATTGAGTAAGAATTCCTTTAAACTACAATACAGAACAGTATTTCCCACACCCCTCAGAAGCAGTGCAAAGGCTTGAGGGAGTCAGGGGGAATGGAGGAGGTGAGGGAGAGGGAAGTAATTGCTGGGAAGGAGCCTAGGTGTCAACTTGGAGGGTGGGAAAAGTACAGAACAGGGTTTTTTTTGGGGGGTGGCGGGGAGGAATTGCTAGGGAACATTCCCATGCAGACCCTGGCAGACCTGTAGCCTCTCCCATTCAGTCAGGCACATCTGCCCCGTCCCAATATGTTCCTGCATCCCCATGTGTCCTTGCACTTCCTGTCCACGTCTCTCCATCCGTACTCAGACAACCACTCCCCCATCCCCATGTTGCTCTGTACCCACTCCCTCTGTCCCTGTGTGTCCCTGTCCCCACTCCCCAATCCTCATGTGTCTCTGTGCCCCCACACAGCCATTCCCCCTGGTCCTGTGTAGCTCTGCACCCCATCACCATGTGGCCCTGCACCTCCCTCTCCCACTAGTCCTTATGAGCCCCTGTCGGACCAAGATTCCTTTTTTCAGCATTTTGCTGTAGTACCAGGGGTTTAGCTTTTTGTTTAGAGATAAAAGGAGGCTTCCACACCAAAGAAACAGAGAGCTCCAAGAGTGTGCAACTCACCCGGATGGGGCTAGCTCTGCCTTCTTACATTGTTTTATTAATACAAATATGACTCTGATATGGAGGCTAGTGACGGGTGATATCAAATAAGGATCTCCAGTGAACACTGTGCATTTCTAATTTGTGAGGTTTACTCTGTCCCTTTTTAGATCTACAGTGTCATGAGAGATAACTCAGATGTGCTTGTCGATACTCAGTGCTGGTCAGGAGAGGCTAAAGATGAAATTGTAGTTAATAAGGATTTGTACTACATTAATTGTTCATCAGACAATGTTCACTACACTGTCAGGAAAAGTAGCGAATGAAGTAAATGCATTCCCATTTTGGTATGGGGTTTTTTAATTTGGATTTTGATCAGCCCTTTTTCTGTTCATACTCAAGTGTGTATGGTTCTCAGTGCTCTTCCAAAAGAGGTGGACAGAATGTAAATGTAAGAACTGTTGTTAAAATAATAATTAAAAAACCGCACTGCTTTCTATAATGAGTTAGATACCTGCGGTTTACAACTGGCATGGGATTTAGCTGGCTATTGGATTAATTACAGAAGGGAAGGGAGAAAAGGACAGCCTTGTTTTCTAGCATGCTTTGGGAGGCAATTTGGTCTGGTGGATAATGCACGGGATGGGGGGAAGGGAACAGTGATCAGAATCGACTCAGTTCTTGACTCTGCTACTGACTTACTATGTGACCGTGGGCAATTTATTTTAGCTTTGTTTTCCCCTGTGTAAAATGAGCACGACACTGATCTACCCCTGTAAAATACATTGAGATGTATGGATGAGAAGTGCTCTCTCTTAAAAAGACAAATCATTTTAGACAGATAAGTTTGCATTTATCAGTTGTACCTTTATAATACAGTGCTGAAGGAGAGGAATAGATCTGCCATCCTTCGATTTCCCCCCCCCCATTTCCCCTACCAAGTGGCTGATAGCTTGGACTGTTGCCTGAAGCCATCTCTTTTTCCTAACACTGTCAGCACATGCTGCTCTTCCCACAGAAGCAGTGGGAGTAGATGAAGGGAACATACTGCTTATGCCACTGGGCTGAACTGGCAAGGGGAAGTGGCCAGTTGCTGGTAGGGGTCCCACTTTGGGACCACACATGCAAGTCAAAGGCTTTTTCCCTGTACCCCAGTGGCCAGTTGCTTGGCTTGTCAAAAATAGGAGCAGCTATTTTCAGAGCTTGCAGCCCAGAGGACAGCTGGTTGTTTAACTGCTCCTCTCTGCCCACCCGTAAATCACATGGCAAGTTACAGATTTGGGAATACCTTTCCCACCTCAAATAAAATCAGCTTCTTGCTCTGTGGGGTCTCAGTCTGATTCCTTTTTGGTCAGGGCCAGAAGGGGATTTTCACATATCTGTGTCAGTTTCTCACGTTGGCACCTGGCATGCTGCCCATGCAGTTCTGGTTAGCTCTGGGCCTGACGTCAGGCCTAGAGAAACCCAAGTCACAGCCTGCAACGAGCAAGTGGACACCCAGGCCAGGAAACAAAAAGATCCCGAAGTGAAAGCTGCTTTTTAAATCAACAAAAATAACCCAATCTTCTAACTGGGGATTTGCCCTAAAGCACCTTCTTAGATTTAAAAGGGTGGTTTGTGTGGGCTGTCATTAAGCTCAAGCTTTAAAATAGAACTTGTGACCTTGTATGTCCATTTTAATAATATTTAACTAAGGTGTTGGTTTGCCCCATGGCTTTGTATGTCAAGCTTGCTTAATGGGTTTTTAAAAGACTCTAAAAACCACATTGTTTGTTTTTCAGCTACTTATGGAGTACACTGAAAAGTGTTATGATCATTTCATGAATGGAGGAGATGCTTTTGAAGAGATGGATGCAGAACTACAGGCAAAACTAAGTAAGGGTGGCCATCTGAATTTGCTATTGCAAGGAACCACATGCAGGCTAGTAGAATTCTGGGCCTTGTCACACTTATTGCCTTCCTTACAGGGGTTATAGTAAGGCCAACATCAGCATTTTTCAAATGGTGTTGCCTACCTATGGATTGAGTGCTTAGAGTTAAGCACTCACATTCATATTTAGATATCTTATTTAGGAAAATGTTGATGTTTAAAAGTGAGGGTCGAAGTGTCTTTACTATGGCCATCATTTTCAGAAGTGCAAAGAGACTTGGTGCCTCAATTTGTGGTTGCCCAACTGGAGGTGCCTTAAAGGGGCCTGACTTTCACAGGGTGGGTGCTCAACACTTTCTGTACACCAGGCTCCTTTATAGCCTCTCAAGGTGGGCTCTCAAAATCACCTGTCACTTTTGGCATATACCTCCTCAACTCATCATCTGTTGATTAAAAATAGCTGATTTGATATTGGATCAGGATTCCACACCCTCTCAACGAAATAGCAGCAGCTCATCTGCCTGCTCATAGGACATTGCAAGGTGCTCATTTTTAAGAGTGAATCTGTTTTGGTGTGGTTTCTCCTTGCAAATCCCTTTGACTTCCATTTTCCTCTTCAGACTGTTTCGTTCCCAAGACAGGGCTTCTCCTGTTGGCAGTGTCATCTCTTGTTATTGCATACCATCTGCCTTTAAGCATTTCTAAAGTGCCCGGCAGCAGTTCTCAATCTGTGGGTCAGGACCCTAAAGTGGGTCACAACCCCATTTTAGTGGGGTTGCCAGGGCCAGCATTAGACTCACTGGGGCCCAGGGCTGATGCTGAAGCCCGAGGGCTTGAGTCTGGGGTAGCAGGGCTCTGGCCCCTCCTCCCCCCCATGCCTGGGGCTGTGGGGCTTGGGCTCTGGCCTCCTCCCATGTAGGGCCATGTAGTAACTTTTGTTGTCAGAAGGGGGTGGTGGTGGTGCAGCGAAGCGTGAGAACCACTGTGCTACAGTATTGCGGCACTGTTGTCTGGTATGACTATCGAGGCTCTAGGGTTATTCAAACCCAGTGTGGTTTCTTGCAGACGAAGTGTTTAAAGTAGACCATTCCAAAGTGAAGACCTTAGAAGCAGAGAACAAAAGGTTGAATGAAGAGATTGCAAGGCTAGAGAGAGAGAAGGAAAGCAAGCCAGTTAGTAAACCATCTTTCTACTTCTTTCAACTATATCAAAGCTGGGTCTTCCCTTATTGGGGTTCCAGGTGCTGTAATCTCACCAGTAATGTGTACATACTGAGCAAGTGGTGGGGGCAGCTGAATCGGGGGTATCTGAAATTCTGCTTCCTAAGGTGATAGGAAGGGGGCTGAGGTGCTACAAAGGAAACAATCTCCAGAGCTATAGGTATCATCTGGGACACTCAGAACTCCTGGCCCCAGCTGGTGGAAGAGTCTAGTCCAGTGTCTCAGGCTCTCATAGTAGAATCCTGCTAATTTTTTTAAACTAAAAGCTGGATATGAAATTAATACTGAAGGTCTCATTTAAAGCTCTAAATGCAAGAAAAATCTGAGTTGAAGCGTCTCTCTGTCCTTACAGAGCTGTGACTTATTACTGCAGTGCATCTGGTACATGAGACTCAAGCATTATTAGACTCCTGAGATGCATGACAGCCTCACCTCTGACCTTATTTCCTCCTGTAGGTTTTAATTTCTTAATGTTTCAATCTAGCTGGCGTTGTAATGATAAAATTTAAAATTGTTAACTCCCAAGAACTAATTTATCAGGCTGGGAATAACTATATCTCGTAGTCTGAGACTGAAAATTTGACCCAAATAAGATAAAGGAGGGAAGAGACTTTTGGGGTAAGGATTGTACAGGGATAGACAGAATGGCAGGGTTCACCACCATTTAGGCTTGCAAGGAAAATTATCTGCCTTGGTAGCAGCTGATTCAAGAAAAGATGCAGCCGAAAATCTATCATTGAGCTACTAATGTTTCCAGTAACCACAGTAAAGCAGGGCTGATTCTTCTAAATACCAGTTAGGTTATTAACACTCTTCTTTCTCCTCAAAGGATCGTCTAGAAATGCTGAGGAAGCTGAAAGCTTCGCTGCAAGCTGATGTTGAAAAATATCAGGCTTACATGACCAATCTGGAATCTCATTCAGCTGTCCTGGATCAGAAACTACATAGCCTCACTGAGGCGTGTGAGGCATCAGGTGAGAAGGAAGCTGCATCAGAGATGATTGATGATGATGATGCATCATCACTTCCTTTGTTGGCTAGTACTGAAGATTGAAGGCTCTGAAACGGACATACACTTACTCCATGGATGAATTTGTACTAAAGCAGATTTTACTTGGCTAGTAATCTTGTACTTTCTGGGAAAACAGTGGGGCCGTACATACAGGGATAGGTGCTGGATGCATCTTTAAAAGACATGGCCTTGATTTCTAGGGGGAGAAGAATTGTCTTTTGAGGCAGAAACATGTAAGTTGTCCGGCTGTCGAGTGTGGGAGATGACAAGATTCGGGGGTAGACTCTGCCCTCTTGGACCAGCTTCCTTACAGTTGGTCTCCTTTGCTGCCTTCCCTCAGTGAACTATGGGAAGAGACCGATCTTGCACCAAAGCTTTCTTGCCTCAAATTAAAGGAAAATCCCTCAGCCCTGAATAGTGAAAGCACAACCTGCCTAAGTTGAAATCCTTCCATTTAAAAAACAGTAGATCTGAGTCGATCTCACTGATCTAGAACAAAGCAGCACCGCTGGGGGAGAAGGGACATAGCCCTCTGAAATGTGCACGTAGAGCAGTGGTTCTCAAACTTTTGTGCTGGTGAACCCTTTCACATAGCAAGCCTCTGAGTGCGACCCCCCCCTCCCCCCGATAAATTAAAAACACTTTTATAATGGTGTTAAATACGTAATAATACTGGAGGCAAAGCGGGGTTTGGGGTGGAGGCTGACAGCTTGCGACCCCCCCATGTAATAACCTCGTGACTCCTGAGGCGTCCAGACTCCCAGTTTGAACCCCCTGATGTAGAGCCTGAAGTGGAGATCCCATGTTAACCTACTCACAAGTGCTGTGAGGCTTAAGTTTGTAGAGAACTTTAAAGATGGAAGCAGTACACATCTGTATTACTGCTAGGAGTACACCTCACTGATGAATGGGATGTTTATACTGGAAAAACAGGGGTGGCGACACTGTGACCTTTAGCAAATGTCCAGAGATCTCTAGCTCCTCTTCTTTTTGTTGTTGATTACAGAATTGGAAGCTGAAATGATGAAGCAGGAAAATGCCCGGCTGCAGCACACTGTTGATAATCAGCTGTACACAGCTGTAGACATCGAGAGAATAAACCATGAGAAAGATGAGCTTCAGCAAACTATCAACAAGCTTACCAAGGAGCTAGAGACGGAGAGGCAGCAGCTATGGGCTGAGGAGCTAAAATATGCAAGAGGCAAAGAGTCGGTGAGTGAAACCATTACTGGGAACTGGGACAGGCAATCTGGCAACTTTGCAGTTTTGATATTAAGGGTCAAAATACAAGAGAGAGAAAGTTGGGAACTTAAGAGGTTGCTGTCAAGTATTTTTCTAATGAAACTAAACCAGGGCAAGATGAATTTTTGTTCAATATCTTCATAAATGATCTAGAGGATGGTGTGGATTGCACTCTCAGCAAATTTGCGGATGATACTAAACTGGGAGGAGTGGTAGATACGCTGGAGGGCAGGGATAGGATACAGAGGGACCTAGACAAATTGGAGGATTGGGCCAAAAGAAATCTGATGAAGTTCAATAAGGATAAGTGCAGGGTCCTGCACTTAGGACGGAAGAACCCAATGCACAGCTACAGACTAGGGACCGAATGGCTAGGCAGCAGTTCTGCGGAAAAGGGCCTAGGGGTGACAGTGGACGAGAAGCTGGATATGAGTCAGCAGTGTGCCCTTGTTGCCAAGAAGGCCAATGGCATTTTGGGATGTATAAGTAGGGGCATAGCGAGCAGATCGAGGGACGTGATCGTCCCCCTCTATTCGACATTGGTGAGGCCTCATCTGGAGTACTGTGTCCAGTTTTGGGCCCCACGCTACAAGAAGGATGGGGATAAATTGGAAAGAGTCCAGCGAAGGGCAACAAAAATGATTAGGGGTCTGGAACACATGACTTATGAGGAGAGGCTGAGGGAACTGGGATTGTTTAGTCTGTGGAGGAGAAGAATGAGGGGGGATTTAATAGCTGCTTTCAACTACCTGAGAGGTGGTTCCAGAGAGGATGGTTCTAGACTATTCTCAGTGGTAGAAGAGGACAGGACAAGGAGTAATGGTCTCAAGTTGCAGTGGGGGAGGTTTAGGTTGGATATTAGGAAAAACTTTTTCACTAGGAGGGTGGTGAAACACTGGAATGCGTTGCCTAGGGAGGTGGTGGAATCTCCTTCCTTAGAATTTTTTAAGGTCAGGCTTGACAAAGCCCTGGCTGGGATGATTTAATTGGGGATTGGTCCTGCTTTTGAGCAGGGGGTTGGACTAGATGACCTCCTGAGGTCCCTTCCAACCCTGATATTCTATGAATGACTCTAACAGATTAAAAATAATTTACAATTTTGCTCTTGCTTCCAGTAGGCCTGGAATTTTTTCATGTACTTGTTTGTGCATCAGCAGCCAAGGCCTGATTCAATGCCCATTTGAATTATTGGATATCCAGGCCCCGAGAGGCCACAACAGGCATGTGTATTGCTTTCAACTGTAGTTGCAGAGATAGCTAAGGAGCTTGAAATAGTCTGAAGAGCCTGAACATAATTATCCCCATTTTACAGATGACAAAACTGAGGCTCACAGCGATTCCATTACCTGCTCAAGACACAGTAATTTAGTGACAGAATTAAACCAAGGGGCCAGATCCTCTGCTGGTGTAAACTAGTGTAACAACTTTGACTTCAATACAGCTATGCTGACTTAAACCAGCTGGCTTAGTGACTCAGTCCCAGTCTGATGCCCTGTCCCATGGACCGTACAGACTCAACACTCTTCTCCTCTTTCCCATGCCCACTGCTATAGTGAGATGTCCCATTTAGAAGCAGGCCCTTGTTCTTCATAAAGTTTACCAAGCTGTGTCAGTGACTAAAACCACAGGCAAGAGAGGAAGGATGGCCCAATTATGGTTAAGGTGTCAGCTTGAGAGTCAGGAGACACGGGTTCTATTTTCTGCCCTTCCAGACATCCTGAGTGTCCTTGGGCAAGTCACTTATCCTCTGCTTCAGTTCCCCATCTGTAAAATGGGACAACAGCCCTGTCCTCTCTCACAGGGGTGTTGTGAGAATAAATGCTTCAGAATGTGAGACTCAACTACTATGGTGATGCGGGCCATATAAGTACCTTTGACAGTCTTTGCATTTGTAAGGCTGGGTCGCTCAAATGTATTCTTAATTTATTTATCACTTGTAATACTCTTCCCAGCCAAAGATCTTACATTTCTTTACACAAGTCCAATTTTACAGAGCGGCAATCTGAGACATGAGGGGGTGAAGTGTTTCTTGCCCGTGTTCACAAGGGAATCTGTGGCAGAGCAGAGAACAGAGCCCAGATCTCTGCACTCCCATTCTCATGCTTTTCCACAATCTCATCTGTCCTCTTTACAGGCAGCTTCCAAGGATACACACTAGCTAATCTTCCTTGAATATTCAAGGATAGGTGGAGCAGGCATTTATGAAGCATCCAGGAGAGGAAAATACAACTACTCAGAAAGGAATGGACAGCTAAAAACTGCTCAAGTCTATCTGTACAGGCCATTGAGCTTCAAATCGCATCACATCTCTGTGCCCTGGTTTTCCCATCTTTGAAATTGGGATAATGATACTGACCCTCCTTTGTAAAGTGCCTTGAGATTGATGGCCGAAAAACTGCTCCATAAATAGCAGAAATGGTCATCTCGCTCAAAAGCTTCCAGTGCTGACTAATATTTTAAAGATTTTTTCTGAGGTCTCAAAATGTCTGTGCATCTATGAAGCCTTACCTGGCAGTGGTACCCTCTTAGAGGTGGCAACAATAGTGATCCATCATGGAAAGTTAGCAGTAGCCATGTTTTGACCTTTTCTATTCAGTGTCTTTCTCTCTTACCATCCTTCCAACTCCACATATTTCCCAGATTGAAGCACAGCTGGATGATTATCACAAACTGGCTCGGAAGCTGAAGCTAATCCCAGCAGGCATGGACAATTCCAGAGGCCACGATTTTGAGATTAAGTTTAGCCCGGAGGATGGACCCCATTCTCCTAGCAAGTTCTAGGACTTTAATTATTGGTGGGTAAACTTAGTCTGAGGAACATGTTGCTGATCAGAATTTGTTTATCCTTCCTTAGGTGGCTGAAGAAGAAGAAGAAAAAAGTGCAGCTGAACTGCAAGCTCTAGAGATACATAAAAACCTAATTGAGACTGGAGTCAATGAGGGCCTCAATGAAGCTATGAATGAGCTACATGAAATTCAGAAGAAGTAAGTGCAGCACATCCAGGTGTGGGGTTTTTTTTGTCTTCTTTCTTAAACAGATTTTTCCTGAGAAGTCTACTGCATATCAATGCAGAGAGAAGACCATACTCTGGAGGGTTGATGGTGAATTTCTGTAGTTTGTATAAGATTTCCTTGACTGAGTGTGTAACTAGCCCTTAGTCTTGCACATATACTATGGTTCCTATATCACTAATACATTTTCATTCCAGAACCTTGCAGTATGGAGTATTAATTTATGGCTGCAGAGCAAGAGCAGGTTAAAATTTTGTCTGTTTCAGTGGAAAACTGAGTATTCAACTAAAGACAAACTTAAAAGTGCGTGCTACTTTCAGTGGAAAATGGACTTTGTCAAGAAACCAAAACCTTTTCACTTTTTGAAAACTTTTTTTTTTTTGACTGACCAAATTGATTTGAAGGGAAAAGCCCATTTCTAACCAGCCTTGCTACCCTGAGTCTGCCATAGTGAGTCCGAAATGCCTGTATGTGTTTGGACACATTTTCGTATACTGTGAAATTCAGAAGTTAACTTTCAATAGTAACTGGACTGTAAGAAAGGAAATCCTGTAGTTCAGGGTTCCAGTATCCTTTACAGTTCATGCATTCTCTAATATCCAGTCATGTGAAAGTTAGTTATTACACATTCCAGGGACACCAACCCCATGTCCCATCTATCAAGAGTCTGAGTTTTCAAGTTCTACAGAAAGGCTCTTAAGACTTGACACATTTGCTGAACATATAAAAATCCTAATATTATACCTTCTAGCTCTTATAACCTTTCATCAGTAGATATCAAAGTGCTTTGCAAAGGAAGTCCGTATTACCTCCATTTTACAGATAGGGAAACTGAGGCACTGAAAAGGAAAATGCTTGGCCAAAGTCACCCAGCAGGCTAGTGGCAAAGCCAGGAATAGAACTCAAATCTGAGTCCCAGTCCCCTGCTTTATCTTGTGCCATGCTACATAAACCATGTACGTTCAAAGTCTAGCCCTATACATATAACTGCAGAATGTTAATATTTTAAGAATACAAAGCACTTATAATATTGTTGTGTAACTAAGATTTATCATTTTAGTCTACATCTATATATAATACCTAAAAAATACTCCGGTGTACATGGATGATTCAATGCCTTTACAAAGTTTTTGATATATTTGGACTGATTTAAAAATGGATTGGGAGAGATTAGACGTAAGGTTATTGTAATGTCTGATCATGCTGAATTGGCTGGATGTTTGCTAAAGAATGTATAAACTGTATAGATACTCAGTTTTATCTATAGTCTTAGTTTCAGGATTGGATTTTATTTTAAATTGGATTTTTATTTTATTTAAATTACAATTTTGTATAAAAATAAACAAAATGTTAAGGCCTAAATTTATTCTCTTAAAACGTTAAATAAAAAAAATATGCTGAATCCATGAGCCTTGATTTAAAAAAACCAAACTGAGTTAATAGCTGCTTTTCTATATAAAAGATGTTTTTCCTGAGTCTAACTTTTGAGGTCAAACTTTTTAAATATGGCACAATGGTCAGCTTGAGTAATTTAGGAGACTGTCTTATTTTCAAGAGACTTAGGTGAGACTAGGAATTTAAACTGTCACTTTCATTTGAAAATTTTCCCAGGCTTACCTGAAACAACCAGTTTAATTCACTGAGTACAGTTAATCTCTCTGTTTAATAAATCATTTAGTTGTAAATGTGGAACGTGCTTTGTTAAGAGATTATCTATCCAAAACATTTAAGGTGGTATTTTATATGCTGTTTGGAATTTAAACAAACACAAGTTACCCATCCTAATACAGCTTGACACAAATCAGAGCAAAAAGTAAATTATCTAGTAAATAAGCAATATCATTCACCATTTTCTAACATACTAAAAATGTACAGTTAATCTGAAAATATTAAGATACATAATTGCTTAAATGTAGATAGTTCTAGTGTATCCTCTTAGGTAACAAAAATATGCACTAAATCTAGTGAAAAGGCTTTAGTTGTAAAGTAATGTTTTAATAGTTTCATCAACCAATGAGAATGCACGTTCCTGTAGAAAGAAACTGAAGTACAAATGGAAAAGTAGGTTAAAATCAATTATTTAAACCGAGGCTTTCAACTTGGTGATTTTTAAATTGTCTTGATTTAAATTATCCAGCCTATTGAATTTTTCTAACATTTATTACATGTCAACCTTAAAATGAAGGGGTTTCTCTTTGGCCTGGGCATGCAATTAAGGGAATGTATTTGTATTCCTCAGGCACCAGATTGCTGTGAGGACAACAAATGAAGAGAAAATGCAAATGCTTGATAAATTGTACCATGTCTTGGAGATCGTGGCTTTTCATGTAGGGTCTGAAGAGGTAAGTCACACCCATTACTATGAACACTAAAGCAGGGTTAGGAAATGTACATTGCCCAAAAGGCAATTTACGGTCAGTTCATTTCCACTCCACCCCTCTTTAATTCTCTCTCCCCATGTCCTGCCCAGTTCATGGCAGGCTATGAAGAAAGAGGTGGTCTGTTCTCCCCAGAAGTGTCTGTCTCTCTCTCGGGAGTGACTGGTGTCTCCAAGCTCCTTGGAAAGAACAAATCTCTCTCCTGTTTGTCTGGGCATGCTGAACCTTGTTCCTTCCTGTACAGAAAAGTCCACAACTTCTCCCAAAGGGACACAATAGTAAATTCCATATGGATTAAAAATGTGCTGAAACTAACTGCCATGTGCAAGCAGAGCACCCAACCAGTGTGTGGTGTTGGGAATAGCAGCTGAATAGTCTCTTGTTCTAGGGTTCTTTGTATTGATATTTCATGACTGATTGCCTTAGTCATATATACACGCTCATACTCCATAGCTCATCTTCCCTACCTTCCCTTCAAATTATTAACAGAGCCAGTAAAGCGACTAGTCTACTGGTAAAATGGCCCCTTGTAATGCTTCCACTGTCTAACCTCTTACCAAAAAGCTTGGGCGCTGCTAAAGTACAGCACCGTGCCCTGCCAACCTCACCTAAAACAGCTGTCACCACACTGATTGAATGTAGGGTGAAATAGCAGTAACAATTGCAATTGTTCTTCCTGGGCTGTATTGGAAAAAGGAGAAATTAGAGGTCTCCAAATACGTGAATTGTTGGTGTTCAGTACTGTCAAGGTAGGTGGATGTTCTAGCTTGTTCAGACCTTCCGTTATCAGAAATGTAGAGATCATTTTGGAAAGATGACAGTAGCCTCTCCTGTAGTGTTCAAAGGCCTACTTACCAATCTGCAAAGGGTGGGATGTGATTTATAGTTTGCATTACAGTAGCAGCTAGAGGTCCCAACATCTTGTACTAGGTGCTGTGCAGAGACTGTCCTTGACCCAAAAAGCTTATGTTCTAAGTAGATAACACAAACTGTGGGAAGGGAAACCGGCACAGAGGGGGCCAAGGATTCACTTAAGGGCACCTGGCAGGGAAATGACAACTAGAAATAGCACTCCGGGCTCCTGACCATCCCTAGAGCTTCTGCTTCACAATTAATGGTGCCAGTACCTTTGTTCATGGAAAACAATTTTAATCAAGAGGACTTAAAGCCATAAAGGATGTGTAGTTTGCTGTGTAAATCATCTGGGTGAGTGAAAGTATTGGGCCATCAAAGTCCCTTCTAAAATGGAATTACACTTGCAGTGACTGTGCAGGGGATGGCTACAGAAGTGAGATGAATGCTTAGGCTATTGGACACAAGCTAGGTGAGGTAATATTTATTGGACCAACTTCTGTTGGTGAAAGGGACAAGCTTATGAGCTTCACTGCGCTCCTTCAGGTCTGGGGAAGGTGAATGGTTAGGACACTGTAATCCAAGTGCAAGACTCTGATTGCATGTTTCCAATCTGAAATATATACATTAATAGGAAGGAGAAATGTGGAAACAACTAATGATAGACTAGGAGAGAGAAGAGGCATACTTAGATATTAAGAGTGAAATCCTGCACCATTAACTTCAATGAAACTGGGATTTCTCTGAAGGTTTGTACCAGGAAATAGCAAAAAAAAAGTCTTAGGTCTGTGAATAAGAGGGATTATGCCACAGAGCAGAGAGCTACCAGTCACTCTGCAGACATTTAAGAGGGATCTAAAGCTTCCTAAAAATCAGCAAATTATCCAAGCTTCTTCAGTGTTCTGCCCTGCTAACCTCCCTCAAGAACAGGATTGGCTTTTATACCATCAGCCTATGGGTTGAGATTTAATAGGCAACATGGCTGTGTCTCATTCACAAGAACTCCTGGGGATCAGATTTGTGCCCTAGGAATTTACAAAGTGTGGTGGCATACCACTGTCAAACACAGCTGTTTTTAACCTGGTTACTTTACTATCAAGTCAGATCTTGGAGTTTATTTGATTAATTTTTTTATTGAAGAAACCAGTTTTAATATTTAAATTATAGATAGATGGCCTGATACCAAATGCAGTGAATAATAATAAAAGATGCACATGGTGCTGACACAAGCTCCATGTCTTTTAGGTTAAAAAAGAAAGTTGGAAATCTCACTGGTAACATTCTCTTCGTAGAAATACCTGGCTGAGCAAAATGAAAAAGCTGATATGGTGTTTGAAGAATTTATGTCTGAAGATCTCTTGGACAACGGGAAACAAATCCTAGCCAACTATAAAAGTAAAGCTGATGCTCTATAACCCTTGCATGGAGGACTTCACCTAGGCATTTTTTCTGTAGCACAACTGTAATGTGGTCCAGTCCTACATTCCTTCCACAAAGTCCCAAGGAAGTCAATCCAATGATATTTACATATGTACAAGGACTACAGGATCTGGTCCATACTGTGCTGTCTCTAAGTATATATTTATTAAATTCTTACAAATGTAAACTATGTATTTAAAAATGAATCAGTCAAAGGTATTTTGTAAAGATTTTTGCTAGCAGTTGGTGTAGTGGGTTTTTTTTTTTTAAGAACCTTGGGTTTTGCAGGCAGATGTATATCAAGCTCTAGGATTTAAGACACACTTTGCAGAAGTGTCCATTAATTTTGGATGCTCAGCTTGGAAGACCCCAGAGCATGCAGCACTCAAAACTAAGTGGATGCTTCTGAAAAATGTTTGCTAGCATGCTGAAACTATTCACCAAGAACGGATATTGAGCTATAACATGTGGCGCACACTTTGCCCCTGAGAGCTGTACCATCTGGGACAGCACATCTGCTGTTATGATACTGAGCACTTCTAACAATGGTTATATATTGAATCAGATCCTTCAAGCAGAACAAAGGGAGAGTCAGGGCTATAACGCCTAACTACTCTGATCGATCTCTCTTGCTTCCAGCACATAGGAATGAGCGTACTGCATTAGGCTACTGTTCCAGCAACTCCCAGTCTCGAGGAATGGCTACTATCACGTAGTAGGATTAACATCTAATAACAGTGAATTCCTGAGGTCAACTAGGTTGGGTAAAAAGCATTTCCTTTTATGAGCAGACATAAACTAGACCACGCAGCCTCTTAATCTACACTTAAGTCACATGTAGAGTACAGGCACAGCATGCCCAGCTTACACTGGTATTAACAGCACTGCTTAGGTGAACAGAGTGCCCTACACACTGGAACCCCCAGGAGTACCTCCTTGTTCTACAGAGCTATTTTTAGCAGTGTAACATCCTCCTACTCAAGCCTTCCCCTGCCCCCATGAAAAGCTCCAGCCACTTCCCACTCTTGAAAACTTTTGCCATGGCATACAGCTAGCCACTGCCGTGACAAGTGTGAACAGAGCCTGTACTCTCCACACACCATCAGTGTAAACAGAGCTTAAGAATGGGCAATCTTCAGGGAAGAAAATCTTACCCATCAGTAAAAAGAAAAGGAGTACTTGTGGCACCATAGAGACTAACCAATTTATTTGAGCATGAGCTTTCGTGAGCTACAGCTCACTGTAGCTCACAAAAGCTCATGCTCAAATAAATTGGTTAGTCTCTAAGGTGCCACAAGTACTCCTTTTCTTTTTGCGAATACAGACTAACACGGCTGTTCCTCTGTTACCCATCAGTAACGCTACAGCTAGGCCATGTCGGGGGCATTGCTGAATAGATGCAACTTAGCTGTGGGATAAACGTCTCACACTATTATGTGCCCCTGAATAAGAGGCTACCACTGAGGGACAATGTAGGGCCAGATATGTAGCATGTACCTCATTTGCCATTGAAGTTCACTCCCTTATGGTCAGTTGTCATCACTAAAGAATTTTGGCTTGTTCTCTGAGATGTGCACAGTGAAATCAGTACTAAACAAGAGAACACAGTACAAAAAGGAGAAGTGAACCCCCTACCTTGAAATCCTCAGGCCTTGCTCTCTAAGGGTATGTCTACACTACGGAATAAAGTTGAATTATCGAAGTCGTTCTTTTAGAAATCGGTTTTATATATTCAAGTGTGTGTGTCCCCACAGAAAATGCTCTAAGTGCATTAAGTGCATTAACTCGGCGGAGTGCTTCCACAGTACCGAGGCTGGAGTCGACTTCCGGAGCGTTGCACTGTGGATAGCTATCCCACAGTTCCTGCAGTCTCCGCTGCCCATTGGAATTCTGGGTTGAGATCCCAATGCCTGATGGGACTAAAACATTGTCGCGGGTGGTTCTGGGTACATATCGTCAGGCCCCCCTTCCCTCCCTCCCTCTGTGAAAGAAAGGGCAGACAATTGTTTCGTGCCTTTTTTCCTGAGTTACCTGTGCAGATGCCATACCACGGCAAGCATGGAGCCCGCTCAGGTAACGGTCACTGTATGTCTCCTGGGTGCTGGCAGACGTGGTATGGCATTGCTACGCAGTAGCAGCAACCCATTGCCTTGTGGCAGCAGATGGTGCAATATGACTGGTAGCCGTCATCGTCACGTCCGAGGTGCTCCTGGCCACGTCGGCCAGGAGCGCCTGGGCAGACATGGGCGCAGGGACTAAATTTGGAGTGACTTGACCAGGTCATTCTCTTTAGTCCTGCAGTCAGTCCTATTGAACCATCTTATGGTGAGCAGGCAGGCGATACGGATTGCTAGCAGTCGTACTGTACCATCTTGTGCCAGGCAGGCAAGAGATGAGGATGGCTAGCAGTCGTACTGTACCATCTTCGGCCGAGCAGCCATGAGATGTGGATGGCATGCAGTCCTTCTGCACCGTCTGCTGCCAGCCAAAGATGTAAAAGATAGATGGAGTGGATCAAAACAAGAAATAGACCAGATTTGTTTTGTACTCATTTGCCTCCTCCCCCGTCTAGGGGACTCATTCCTCTAGGTCACACTGCAGTCACTCACAGAGAAGGTGCAGCGAGGTAAATCTAGCCATGTATCAATCAGAGGCCAGGCTAACCTCCTTGTTCCAATAAGAACAATAACTTAGGTGCACCATTTCTTATTGGAACCCTCCGTGAAGTCCTGCCTGAAATACTCCTTGATGTAAAGCCACCCCCTTTGTTGATTTTAGCTCCCTGAAGCCAACTCTGTAAGCTGTGTCATCAGTCGCCCCTCCCTCTGTCAGAGCAATGGCAGACAATCGTTCCGCGCCTTTTTTCTGTGCAGACGCCATACCAAGGCAAGCATGGAGGCCGCTCAGCTCACTTTGGCAATTAGGAGCACATTAAACACCACACGCATTATCCAACAGTATATGCAGCACCAGAACCTGGCAAAGCGATACCGGGTGAGGAGGTGACGTCAGCACGGTCACGTGAGTGATCAGGACATGGACACAGATTTCTCTGAAAGCATAGGCCCTGCCAATGCATGCATCATGGTGCTAATGGGGCAGGTTCATGGTGTGGAAGGCCGATTCTGGGCTCAGGAAACAAGCACAGACTGGTGGGATCGCATAGTGTTGCGGGTCTGGGACGATTCCCAGTGGCTGCGAAACTTTCGCATGCGTAAGGGCACTTTCATGGAACTTTGTGACTTGCTTTCCCCTGCCCTGAGGCACATGAATACCAAGATGAGAGCAGCCCTCACAGTTGAGAAGTGAGTGGCGATAGCCCTGTGGAAGCTTGCAACCCCAGACAGCTACCGGTCAGTCGGGAATCAATTTGGAGTGGGCAAATCCACTGTTGGAGCTGCTGTGATGCAAGTAGCCCACGCAATCAAAGATCTGCTGATATCAAGGGTAGTGACCCTGGGAAATGTGCAGGTCATAGTGGATGGCTTTGCTGCAATGGGATTCCCTAACTGTGGTGGGGCCATAGACGGAACCCATATCCCTATCTTGGCACCGGAGCACCAAGCCAGCGAGTACAGAAACCGCAAGGGGTACTTTTCAATAGTGCTGTAAGCTCTGGTGGATCACAAGGGACGTTTCACCAACATCAACGTGGGATGGCCAGGAAAGGTACATGACGCTCGCATCTTCAGGAACTCTGGTCTGTTTCAAAAGCTGTAGGAAGGGACTTTATTCCCAGACCAGAAAATAACTGTTGGGGATGTAGAAATGCCTATATGTATCCTTGGGGACCCAGCCTACCCCTTAATGCCAGGGCTCATGAAGCCATACATAGGCAGCCTGGACAGTAGGCAGGAGCTGTTCAACTACAGCCTGAGCAAGTGCAGAATGGTGGTAGAATGTGCATTTGGACGTTTAAAGGCGCGCTGGTGCAGTTTACTGACTCGCTTAGACCTCAGCGAAACCAATATTCCCACTGTTATTACTGCTTGCTGTGTGCTCCACCATATCTGTGAGAGTAAGGGGGAGACGTTTATGGCGGGGTGGGAGGTTGAGGCAAATCGCCTGGCTGCTGGTTACATGCAGCCAGACACCAGGGCGGTTAGAAGAGCACAGGAGGGCGTGGTACGCATCAGAGAAGCTTTGAAAACCAGTTTCATGACTGGCCAGGCTACGGTGTGAAAGTTCTGTTTGTTTCTCCTTGATGAAACCCCCCGCCCCTTGGTTCACTCTACTTCCCTGTAAGCTAACCACCCTCCCCTCCTCCCTTCGATCACTGCTTGCAGAGGCAATAAAGTCATTGTTGCTTCACATTCATGTATTCTTTATTCATTCATCACACAAATAGGGGATGACTACCAAGGTAGCCCAGGAGGGGTGGTGGAGGAGGGAAGGAAAATGCCACACAGCACTTTACAAGTTTACAACTTTAAAATTTATTGAATGCCAGCCTTCTTTTTTTTTGGGCAATCCTCTGTGGCGGAGTGGCTGGTTGGCCGGTGGCCCCCCCACCGTGTTCTTGGGTGTCTGGGTGTGGAGGCTATGGAACTTGGGGAGGAGGGCGGTTGGTTACACAGGGGCTGTAGTGGCAGTCTGTGCTCCAGCTGCCTTTGCTGCAGCTCAACCATACACAGGAGCATACTGGTTTGGTCCTCCAGCAGCCTCAGCATTGAATCCTGCCTCCTCTCATCACGCTGCTGCCACATTTGAGCTTCAGCCCTGTCTTCAGCCCGCCACTTACTCTCTTCAGCCTGCCACCTCTCCTCCTTGTCATTTTGTGCTTTCCTGCACTCTGACATTATTTGCCTCCACGCATTCGTCTGTGCTCTGTCAGTGTGGGAGGACAGCATGAGCTCGGAGAACATTTCATCTCGAGTGCGTTTTTTTTTCTTTCTAAGCTTCACTAGCCTCTGGGAAGGAGAAGATCCTGTGATCATTGAAACACATGCAGCTGGTGGAGAAAAAAAAAGGGACAGCGGTATTTAAAAAGACATTTTATAAAACAGTGGCTACACTCTTTCAGGGTAAACCTTGCTGTTAACATTACATACATAGCACATGTGCTTTCGTTACAAGGTCGCATTTTGCCTCCCCCCACCGCATGGCTACCCCCTCAGCCACAGGGAGGGGGGAGGGTTAACAGCGGGGAACATTTCTGTTTAGCCACAGGCAAACAGCCCAGCAGGAATGGGCTCCTCTGAGTGTCCCCTGAAGAAAAGCACACTATTTCAACCAGGTGACCATGAATTATATCTCACTCTCCTGAGGATAACACAGAGAGATAAAGAACGGATGTTGTTTGAACGCCAGCAAACATACACTGCAATGCTTTGTTGTACAATGATTCCCGAGTACGTGTTACTGGCCTGGAGTGGTAAAGTGTCCTACCATGAAGGACGCAATAAGGCTGCCCTCCCCAGAAACCTTTTGCAAAGGCTTTGGGAGTACATCCAGGAGAGCCGCGAATGCCAGGGCAAAGTAATCCTTTCACATGCTTGCTTTTAAACCATGTATAGTATTTTAAAAGGTACATTCACCAGAGGTCCCTTCTCCACCTGCTGGGTCCAGGAGGCAGCCTTGGGTGGGTTCGGGGGGTACTGGCTCCAGGTCCAGGGTGAGAAACAGTTCCTGGCTGTCGGGAAAACCGGTTTCTCCGCTTGCTTGCTGTGAGCTATCATCTTCTTCGTCCCCAAAACCTGCTTCCGTATTGCCTCCATCTCCATTGAAGGAGTCAAACAACACGGCTGGGTTAGTGGTGGCTGAACCCCCTAAAATGGCATGCAGCTCATCATAGAAGCGGCATGTTTGGGGCTCTGACCCGGAGCGGCCGTTCGCCTCTCTGGTTTTCTGGTAGGCTTGCCTCAGCTCCTTCAGTTTCATGCGGCACTGCTTCGGGTCCCTGTTATGGCCTCTGTCCTTCATGCCCTGGGAGATTTTCACAAAGGTTTTGGCATTTCAAAAACTGGAACGGAGTTCTGATAGCACGGATTCCTCTCCCCATACAGCGATCAGATCCCATACCTCCTGTTCAGTCCATGATGGAGCTCTTTTGCGATTCTGGGACTCCATCATGGTCACCTCTGCTGATGAGCTCTTCATGGTCACCTGCAGCTTGCCACGCTGGCCAAACAGAAAATGAGATTCAAAAGTTCGCGGTTCTTTTCCTGTCTACCTGGCCAGTGCATCTGAGTTGAGAGTGCTGTCCAGAGCGGTCACAATGGAGCACTCTGGGATAGCTCCCGGAGGCCAATACCGTTGAATTGTGTCCACAGTACCCCACATTCGAGCCGGCAAGACCGATTTAAGTGCTAATCCACTTGTCAGAGGTGGAGTAAGGAAATCGATTTTAAGAGACCTTTAAGTCAAAATAAAGGGCTTTATCGTGTGGACGGGTGCAGGTTTACATCGATTTAATGCTGCTAAATTCGACCTAAAGTCCTAGTGTAGACCAGGGCTAAGGCAATAGATGCCATGTAAGTACTAATTCTTCCAGCAGAGTGCTCCATCAACAAAGTCACAGCTTTCCTCCTGCTATTAGTTCATCTGCTCTTTCTCCTAGGAACTGATGGGGTGGTGGAGAGCCCTCACAGCTTGTAGCCAATGGTGCTTGATTACATTAGGGTAATTTCCTTTTGGAGCACAGAGTGGCGTTACCTCCTGGCAGAGGTACCACATAACTCCATGCAGCCTGTATACCAGACTTCCTTTGCAGGCATCATCCTCTCATAACTTCTGAAAGGATAAGTCCTTTCCACCTCCAGGTAGGAAGCCCTACAGCAGGAAAGAGTTTCATGCTACTTCCTTGTCACCAATAATCTTAGAACTGAACACATACATCAACAGGTTCTAATTCCATAGGGTGACCCTATTCTCATATATTATCTGTATTAAAACAAGTTAACTGAAAAAGTCACAGCTGATCAGTGAATTCTGGATGTACTTAATAAAGGCTGTTGCTATAGCCAGAGCCCCATGCACTCTGCTGGTGTTTATCTCTTGCTACACATCTATGTTCTGGCATCTGAGCTTTCATTTAAAACCTGCTTCACAGTTAAGGCTATCTTCACAACAAGGAAGGGAAACAAGTGGAAGCTTGTTAAAACATAGCCTTTAAAAATCCTTTATTACTTTTTGTCAATTTAGTAAATTAATACCAATAAACAAATCTGGAAAATCATAGATCACATTCTGCTGCATGAATCGTTTAAGCATCCTTAAATTTTCATTGACAAGTTATTACAAACCCTCAAAATAATTTCACTATTTTATACTATTTACAAAGCAAAAAGCAATGTCTAGAGCAGTATGTTTGGTACCTATTGTGCTGGATGGGTAGAGTACAACAGGAGAGTTGTGGACACGGAGAGGTAGGTCTGTCAGGAATTCATCAGGGGAAGGTTTCCTGTAACATGGGTTATAAAACACCTCAGCAGATGGATGCCAGAATACTCTATGGAACTGTAGAAACAAAGATTTACAGGTTCAGGTCGTTGCTTCCTTCAAATGCAGGTGCCTAATTCTGCTAAACTGCCACCATCCCTTGGAGTAAGGGGTACCTGCAAAGTCATCCAATTGTTTTTGATACATCAATAATTTAGTCTCACAAAAATCAGGAAATTTATAGTTTCTGCAGCAACTGTAACTTTACCTACTGAATGATCACAGAATGGAATCAGCAAAAAATGTTATGGCACATCACAGATTCTCTTCCCTTAGCTTTATGGGTAGAAGGAAAGACTTGTCTTTCTGGTGCAAAAATGCAGCTTCACAAGAGTTCGAAACTGCAGCTCTGTAGTGTGCTAAACATTTTCTATCCAATGAAATTAGTAGTTAATTCTTCCATTTAGTTCATTGCTGCAATAATAAGAGTTGCTGAACTCTGCAGCTGAGGTTTATAGTGCAGCAAACCTTAATACAAGTTTAACAACTTCACAAGACGTTCAAAATAAGGTGATGTTTAATATTTTTACTAGGGCTCTCTGCTGAGAATCTTTTAAACAAGGGAAAAATGTTACACAGGATTTTTACCACTTAATTTAAATGTCATGGGTCAAATGCTGGCCTATTGACTTCAATGTCCCAGGATTTCACTTACATTTCTACATAAAGGAGCTACACTTGAACTTTCATCAGGTATAGAGTACTCAGAAATGGAAGCTTGGCTGTGGCTCATCACTTAATTCAGGATCTCATTATAAAGGGACATTATCACGACAGTTACAAACTGGTGTACTCTTTTACACGTTCTCCTCTTACAAAATCCAGTGCTGATCTCCCCAGCACCCTCCCCAAATTGACAATTGCTCACTGCTCAATATCAAATAAAAAAAATCCTGAGCCCATATGCTAGAAGCTAATAAGGGCACAGCAACCCTTGGAGAGGAGCTATGATACTAAAAGCACAGGCTTTGGATAGTCACTTATACCATACCAAGTGGCTATAGAACATTACACCGCTCTGATTTTTGGTAGCATTTTGCACTAAGGTAAGTGACTTCACAAAGTGCAGAGGAATGGATATCTGGGGGTCTATCTCAAGCTCTGCTACAGGTTTTCGGTGTGTCCTTGGCCAAGTCACTTAGGAGCCTACATAGCTTTGTGGTTCTAGACCTTAGCATAGTTCTGCTCTGAAAATGGATACTGTAAAAGGAGCGTTTGGGGGGTCACATGTTTGACGTGCTCAATTTACACAAAGAGATTTTTTAAATTGCCACAGTCTCACCCCAGAAACTGGAAGTCAAGCTGGGTTCTTTCCAACACATCCATCACCCGTACAAGATTCTATATGCTAGATTCCATTCAGTTAAGTTTGTACCACATGGCTGGGTTCAGTAAGGTGGTACCCATGTAACCAAGGGCAGAGCTGGGCTTAAAATCAGAAACTGGTTACCTGGTCTGTTAATGCTGGACCAAAACAGAACCCAGCTCCCTCTCCCACAGTTGTGGAGACTCTGGAGGGCTAACAGGACTAAGAACACTGAAGTTAAAGTTGCACATAGGCAGCAGAGCCGTTACATAAGATGCCATTTTGATGTGATCTTTTTCAGAGTAGAACTGCATGTTAGCCTCTCTGCCCATTCCCGCATCTGCAGAGGGGATACTTTGCATACAGTCAGAGCAAAGTAGCGTTAATTTGTATTGGGCAGCATGATTGCAAGTACTATCCTTCTTATGCCTAAGAAAGCCAAAATCATTTCAAACCTGGCCCCAAGCTCTTGCCCATATGTGGTCTGTTTAAAATGAGTGCGGTGGTCTCAGACAGGCATTCACACCACAAAACCCACAACCGTATGTTGTGCCTCTGCTGCCAGTCTCATCTGAAAGACCCAAGGAGGAATGGGCCTTGAAAGCTGAACTCTCCTCTCACCTCTTTAGGGGGTTCTCCCTCAGACAGGGTGGGGTCAGCATGGGGGTGACTTGCCCCGACACCGCCCACTGTACCTGTTCTGGGCATAAATAGGAGTTCAGTCTCCCAAACTGTCAGACCTGTCAGTGAGTTTGGTGTTTTTCAGGTGCTTAAAAATAAGACATCAGTAGAAGTGAGCTTTACCTGACTGGGAAGAGTTGAGGAAAGCACCCCTGAGTGTGTTTCTCTGCAAAGTCCTGGATCTCCAGTACATTTTTAACCAACAGTCCCTTGGGAACTTTGTCGATTTTGGTTAACACAAGCTGCACAAATACATAAAGAGAAGATTTAGGGAGCGGGCGGGGGGTGGGTAGAACATTGCTTTACTGTAACCCTGGAAATGTTTGCCAAGATGTATCACCCTCCCACTGCTTTCAAACTGCTTCATGTCCTATCTAAATGGGATACTAATACATGAATGCTGAGCCTATTCAGATCAGACCTCTTTAAGGGGTGTCAAACTGGGCACCAAAAAGAAGGTCAATTTTGAAAATTCAGATCTTAAAAAAACGCAACCAATCATAGACAATAGATTTTCAGGCCTCCCTATACAGTATGAATTAAAAAAAAAGGGGAGGGGGGGAAGACAACTTTTTCCCCCATGCAGATCACCTTTTTAACTTACTGCTAGAGCTCTACTGCTGAGGCTCATCTAGCTGAAGGTACAAAATGTTTAGAGAATGCCCTTGAGCCCAGCCAATTTGCATTTTTATTTTGGTTCGTGTTTTAAAGAGAAAGTATAACTTACAACGTAAGGGATCCCAAACTCCTCCAACATTTCTATGGCAATGTCGTCTGCCTTCTGCAATCCTACCAAGCTGTCCACTAATAAGAATGTCCTCTTCAAGCTAACGAAGATACAGAGAGTAACACAAGTGAGGGGCAATGTAACAATGGTTGTTTCTACGTTAACTAGCATGGGGACTGAGAGGCTACCTCACAGGATTTGGAGATGAACTAGATGAGACTAATTCTCTTTTCCCATCCTGAGAGGAGTCAATACAGGATAGCACCTAAGGGGAATATTTTCCAGAGCTCTGATCCATCCAAGCTTCAAAACAGGACTCAAACAATGGTAACGTCACCACTTCACTCTGGAAGCTATACTATGGTCTAATACATTCCACCCCATTGTTGGCAATAACTTCTTGATATCTACACTTAACTCTTCCACCTTTTTATAATCTATGCAAACATCCCACTGTTCTGATGCACTGTGAGACTGCAGGTAAAACACGACAGCATGCAACGGTTCTCTTACTTCTGACGCTCTTGTAAATAGGCCTCCACCATGTCAGCAAAGTCTTCGGGGGCTCGGTAGCCATAGCCTGGCATGTCCACCACCGTAAAGTATTTCCCCACTTTGAAGAAATTCATTTTCTTTGTGTGGCCCTGCAGAGAGAAAGGTTGGGCTTTATTAAATATTACTAAACAACCATGGGATTATGGATTTATTTAAAAGGTTCTTTATGCCCAACATTAGATATCTGAGCTGAATATGGACAAGAACCAAGAATCCGATGGGCCTAGAAGACTGGAAACTGTTTTAGATTCATTAAAAATGCCAAATAGACTTTATAACATGTCCTGGGTTACTGACAAGCTGATAATGAGGGAAGCACCTCATGGTTTAGTAGAAACAGGATACCATCCCAGCGACTGATACATAAGCTTAAGTTTGTCTAAATGTGACTACACAAATCTATGTAGTTGAGAGGAGGGAGATGCTGTATGAGCTCATGTAGGAGAGTCCAGTAGGCACACAATGTACTGGATTTATATTTTCTGAAATTATAACCCTAGAGCAGAACACTCGTACTTACCGTACTATTTAGCCATGGTATCAGAAAGGATTTTAGGAAACACTCTACAGCAGTGTTTCTCAAGCAAGGGTACACATACCCCTGGGGATACACAGAGGTCTTCCAGCGGTACATCAACTCATCTACATGTTTGCCTAGTTTTACAACTGGCTACATAAAAAGCACCAGTACAAAGTCAGCACAAACTAAAATTTCATACAGTGACTTGTTTATACTGCTCTCTATATTATACACTGAAATGTAAGTACAATATTTACATTCCAGTTGATTTATTTTATAAATATATGGTAAAAATGAGAAAAAGCAAATTTTCAGTAATAATATGCTGTGACACTTTTGTATTTTTATGTCTGATTTTGTAAGCAAGTAGTTTAAGTGAGGTGAAACTTGCAGGTACGCAAGACAAATCAGACTCCTGAAAGAGGTAGAGTAGTCTGGAAAGGTCGAGAACCACTGCTTTACGGATCCTGGTCTTCACACATAGCCAGAGAACCTAGTCTCTGCCTATGGGAGGGTCTCAGTTTGGGCACCGTGGATGGGTACTGGGGACATTGGAATACTTTCCCCACCTCACATGCTGAACACAGGACACAGGATACCTAGGGAACTGCTCCAGAACCACCACTGAAGCCTCTGTGCTGAAGTAGCATCAGTAACACACTAAAAATTGTTGTGTTTAAGCCAATAGATCTACAGAGTCATGGCATCACTGGCCATGCCTCCAAGTCTTCCCTCTGGGGACCATAGGGTGTGGCGACCCCTTGCACAGCCTCCCTGTGGCCTGCTCTTCTCTGTGCAGAACAGACTGCGACAGTTCCACTACTTCAAAGACCTTCCACAGTCATTACCTGAGTAGGGGGATTTAGCTCCGAGTGCCAAACTACTCTCAAAAAGTGACTACAAATTAGCTTGGTAGGGCTGTGTGTGTGTTTTGTCTCAGTGACTGCACATCAAATATGCTCAGCGTACGAGTAAAAAGATTATTTTTTTCCTCCCAACTGCTAGCCCTGCAAACTCATCCTGGGCTCTGAGAGTCAAGCTGGGTTCTTTTCACCTCATATTTCCAGTAAGAAGACTTTTGCAAATGAACCTTAAAATTTCTGTTGAAGATGCGCAAGCCAGAGAAGAATCCAGCTTATGCTCCCAGAGCTTTGTGTTACCCCAGACCTCTTTCTCTCATCTCCCCTGACTGGCAGGAGCTTCCAGTTGAGATGGAGGGAATTCTGTAACATCACTTACTGGAGTTTTTGACACTCTGACTTCAACATCTGGAGCCAGTGAAAACAAAGCCTTTATTAAGGAGGATTTCCCAACATTGCTTCTGCCCAAAAAGCACACCTGGAGAGAGACAGGAGAAAGGAGATACCATTGTTAGTTTTCTCTCCCACATCCAAACCCACCTGTGCAACAAGAATTGGTCACTCCTGCAAATCCCTCAATTTGTTCTCATGGTCTTAGCACCTTAGATGAGGAAGGATGGTCCAGTGACTAAGGCACTCACACAGGACTTGAGAGACCGGAGTTCTAGACCCTGCCATAGGCTTCCTGTGTAAAGCTGAGCAAGTCATGTAGCCTCTCAGTTTCCATCCGTAAAATGGGGATAATAGCACTTCCCTATCTCACAGGGGTCTCATATTATAGATCGTGAGGTGCTCAGATACCATGGTGCTGGGGGTCATATACGTAACTAAGAGACTCGCTTTCAGGGAATGTCTTGGTGCTAATTCATACCCTCCTATACCAAAAGCCAGAGAAAGGGCCAAGTTAGTTTGAAAACTTAGTAGCCCTGACAACATGAAATTTCCATGTAATTGTCCTATCTGTAGGGATAAAATACTTTGTTCCCTTCATAACGGACTTAGTCCTTCAGCTCTGTAGAAGTTCCAGGATCTGTAAAATCTTGGGACATCTGCAGAAAGCCCAGGGCTTCAGTCTATTCCTTGGACCCCAGGCCCATCAGAAGCTGCCCTTCCATCAGTTCCCCTGCCCAGTGTAGACAAAAATGCACCACTTGCTCTGAGGGAACTGACAGTGCAGAGCAGGTTTCCCTACATAAGATCATGCTGACACAGCCCCCATGGTTCACAGAGGGCGGAGGCGGCACAGAGACGCTCTCTTTTGGCTCCACATAGTCAAGCCAACTGCCAAAACTACAGCACCCAAATGCATGACTTCAGAGGAGAGTAGATAGATAAAACGCTGTATAGGATGGACTCCCTGACAGGAGGTGTTCTGACCACAGGAGCAAGGATACCACCTTCCTCTCCATCCCAGGCAATGGCCTCACCTCAGGCTGCGACAGCTGCGGTGCATGGTCCATGCGGATGGCAGAACTGAAGTAATGAATCACGTGTCTGCCCGAGGGTTTGAAAAACCCCTCCGCCCTGTGGAGGTCACCCAGGCTGGGGCTGAAAGTCCGGAAGCTGGCAGTGTTCACGTCCGGGGCTAGATACTTCTCTAGGCCCTGGAGCGGGAAAACGACGCCCGTGAGCTTTTTATCCTCCAGCTGCAGCACTTCCGAAACCGACGCATTTTTGGTGGCGCTCCTCCACGCAGCGCTGCGTCTCCGGAGCGGGCAGCTTGGCCCCGCCAGCCGCCCCACCCTCTGGAGCCGGAGCATCTCCGCCCGCGCGGCCCAGGCTCCCGAAAGCGTGGGTCGTGCTCAAAGGCCGGAGCGGAGGGCGCTTGGAGAGGCACCCCCCTCTCACACACACACCCACACACACACACACACACGCGGGTGCCCCTGAAGCGTCCCCGGCCCAGGTGTCAGGCAGGGCCCCCCGCTGGGGAGGACGGAGTCACCCAGTGGGGCTGAGGCGGCCGCGCCGGGCAGGCAGGAGGTCCGTGGAGGGCGGCTGGGTCCCGCGCGGAGCCCCAGGCAGAGGCCGGCCCGGGAGACAGGCCCCCTGCGGCCGGGCGCTTTGCAGCGGCGCCGGGCGCAGCGAGGGCGGAAGGGTCCCAAAGCACAGCGCGGGGGGGGGGCAGTGGGGGCTCCCGCGGGCTTGCGATGGCGGCGGGGAGGGACACGCTCTGCCCAGCGGCGGCGGCCCGACCTCTCCGCCGCCCTTAACCCCGGCCGGGGCGCTCACTTCCGGGCGGGGCGGTGGCTCCGCATGGAGGGGCGGGGAGAGGCACCGGGCAGCAGAGACCCGCCCCCCCCCCCCCGCGGACTGCCCCTGGGGCCCAGCGCCACGCGCCCCCATCCGCCCCCCCCCCCCCACCTCCAGACTCTGCACCCCCACTGGGCGCTCACCGCCCCGTCCCTGGCCGGCCAGCTGGAGAAGCCCCAGTCCCGGGCGGATGAGCTCGCCGGTGCTGAAGCAGATGAATGGAGAGGGGCAGGGAGGTTATTCACACGGTTTGAAATTGTGTTACTTCCTATTTAACTCAAGCGCCCGATAAACCCAGGACAAAAGGTGTCCTTGTTAAAGAGTCATCCAGCCTCCTTTTCCCATTTCAGGGCAGAGAAGGCTCCCCCTGCATACGTAAGCCCTCCAAAAGCAGGCATGATCCGACTGTACAGCCCCGCTCATTTCTGAGATTAAATCATCATAATGGGGAGGGAAGAACCCCACCTTTCAGGCCTTCTTCCCCCTTGTAAAGATGACGAAAAGCTCAGACCCCCTTCCCCCCCCCACCCCCCTTTGCAGTTCATCTTTAAGCTACCTCGCCTCTGCATTCTACAGCGCCAGTGGATTTCAGAGCAGCCCAGCACTGCTCTGCCCGGAGGCTGGGCAGCGGCACGTGAAAGAGAAGTGGTTTCCCCTTCCAGGAAAGCGGTGGGCTGGCTCTTAAAGGACCTTCAACTGTACGGTGCCAAGTGAAGAGCAACTCCAACACTGAAGCTCGTTCACCTGCACATCTACCAATGTGATATATGCCATCATATGCCATCATATGCCAGCAACGCGCCTCTGCCATGCACATTGGTCAAACTGGACAGTCTCTACCTAAAAGAATAAATGGACACAAATCAGATGTCAAGAATTATAACATTCATAAACCAGTCGGAGAACACTTCAATCTCTCTGGTCACGCGATTACAGACATGAAAGTTGCGATATTACAACAAAAAAACTTCAAATCCAGACTCCAGCGAGAAACTGTTGAATTGGAATTCATTTGCAAATTGGATACAATTAACTTAGACTTGAATAGAGACTGGGAGTGGCTAAGTCATTATGCAAGGTAACCTATTTCCCCTTGTTTTTTCCTACTCCCCTCCCCCTCAGACGTTCTTGTTAAACCCTGGATTTGTGCTGGAAATGGCCCACCTTGATTATCATACACATTGTAAGGAGAGTGATCGCTTTAGATAAGCTATTACCAGCAGGAGAGTGGGGTGGCGGGAGAGAAAACCTTTTGAAGTGATAAACATCCATTTTTTCATGGTCTGTGTGTATAAAACATCCTCACTGCATTTTCCACTCTATGCATCCAATGAAGTGAGCTGTAGCTCATGAAAGCTTATGCTCAAATAAACTGTTTAGTCTCTAAGGTGCCACAAGTCCTCCTTTTCTTTTTGCGAACACTGAAGCAGACAACGCAACTTTAAATGCACCCCAGAAGGGGGTTAGTAGGGATGGAAAGTAAGGGGGGCCGGGAAGAGGAAGAAGGTGGCATAAAAATGGGTTTTGGCTGCCTTTGCACTTAATGCTTATAATACTCAATTTAAAAATAGGAGACACAGATAATTATGATAGAACCCCTCTCTCCTTGTTAATTTCCTGGCTGTCAACCCCATTGTGGGTGTGGGGATTTCTGTTTTTTTTATTCAGGAGGTTTTATTATGCATTTTTGGGAGTTAGTGCACAGCCATGTCATCACTATAAGGTTCAACTAGCCCATCAGAATATGGTTTTGGACCATCAGTGTTCCCAGCCAGACTCCCAATAATAAGGATAAGGCAGATCCTACAAAAAGAAAAGGAGGACTTGTGGCACTTTAAGAGACTAACAACTTATTTGAGGATAAGCTTTCGTGAGCTACAGCTCACTTCATCGGATGAAGTGAGCTGTAGCTCACAAAGGCTTATGCTCAAATAAATTTGTTAGTCTCTAAGGTGCCACAAGTCCTCCTTTTCTTTTTGCGAATACAGACTAACACGGCTGCTACTCTGAAGCAGATCCTACAGTTTATCCATTTCAAATCAATGAAGGAGAAACAAGCTAGAGGTAGGTCTTTACTGGGTTTTTGGTAGATACACAGATGTACCTGCATCAGTGCAAATTGTGATTTGCACCAGCAGGCTTTCTCTGGTCTCAAATTAAAAACTCCAGTGCAGATAAAGGCTATAGTTACCAACCCAGTAATAAAGGAAACTGGAATTACTTGCTCTGATCACTAGGTGGCAATAAAGGGGCAGTCAGTTAAACAGCGTTTTTTAGAAACACTCACTGTAAATTACAGACAAAAACTATGTTAAAAGAACATTTGCAAAGTTAACCACTCAAACGTAAAGAAATACCAGATTTACATTGCTTGTGCAACCTTACTTTGCATATGCGCTTACCTTGTGCATATGCATTATGATACAGTCTTTATTTTGTCTATCTTCGAGTTTTATAGTCAAGTATCAGGGGGTAGCCGTGTTAGTCTGAATCCACAAAAACAACAAGGAGTCCGGTGGCACCTTAAAGACTAACAGATGTATTTGAGCATAAGCTTTTGTGGGTAAAAACCTCACTTCTTCAGATGTACGGAGTGAAAGTTACAGATGCAGACATAAATATACTGACACATGAAGAGAAGGGAGTTACCTCACAAGTGGAGAACCAGTGTTGACAGGGCCAATTCCATCAGAGTGTGGTCCACTCCCAACAATAGATGAGGAGGTGTCAATTCCAGGAGAGACAAAGCTGCTTCTGTAATGAGCCAGCCACTCCCAGTCCCTATTCAAGCCCAAATTAATGGTGTTAAATTTGCAAATGAATTTTAGTTCTGCTGTTTCTCTTTGAAGTCTGTTTCTGAAGTTTTTTTGTTCAAGTATAGCTACTTTCAAATCTGTTATAGAATGTCCAGGAAGATCGAAGTGTTCTTCCACTGGCTTTTGCGTGTTACCGTTCCTGATGTCCGATTTGTATCCATTTATTCTTTTACGTAGGGTCTGTCCGGTTTGGCCAATGTACATGGCAGAGGGGCATTGCTGGCACATGATGGCATATATAACATTAGTAGACATGCAGATGAATGAGCCTCTGATGGTGTGGCTGATGTGGTTGGGTCCTCTGATGGTGTCACTAGAGTAGATACGGGGATGGAGTAGTCAACAAGGTTTGCTACAGGGATTGGTTCCTGGGTTAGTGTTTCTGTGGTGTGGTTTGTAGTTGCTGGTGAGTATTTGCTTCAGGTTGGGGGGCTGTCTGTAAGCGAGTACTGGCCTGTCTCTCAAGGTCTGTGAGAGTGAGGGATCGTTTTTCAGAATAGGTTGTAGATCGTTGATAATGTGCTGGAGAGGTTTTAGCTGGGGGCTGTACATGACGGCCAGTGGTGTTTTGTTATTTTCCTTGTGGGGCCTGTCCTGTAGTAGGTGATTTCTGGGTACCCGTCTCGCTCTGTCAATCTGTTTCCTCGCTTCCCCAGGTGGGTATTGTAATTTTAAGAATGCTTAATAAAGATCTTGTAGGTGTTTGTCTCTGTCTGAGGCATTGGAGCAAATTCGGTTGTATTTTAGGGCTTGGCTGTAGACCCTGGATGTGATCTATGCTGGATGGAAGCTGGAGGCATGTAGGTAAGTATAGCGGTCAGAAGGTTTCCGGTATAGGGTGGTGGTTATGTGCCCATCCCTTATGTAGATCTCTTGTGTGGACTGGTCCAGGCTGAGATTGATGGTGGGGTGGAAATTGTTGAGTTTTATAGTGACACCCATCACTGCAGTAGCTGAGCACCTTCCATGTAAAATCAATAGTAGCAAAGCCCTTCACTGACTTAATAAATTCTCTGGTGCTTCTCCCTCTTGGGATCAAAAATCTGCTGGGGGGAAGGGGTGGTTGTTGTTGTTGTTTTAAATGATATTTTCTGGTTTGGTTGGTTTGGTTTTTTGGCTGGGGAAGGGGGAGGTTGGTAAGGGTTTGGGAACGGAATTATATGATCACATATTAAGTTTTCCACAGGGCCCCTGCACAGAATGGACAGTGATCACTTAACGAGCACCCGTTCAATATTTTGTTTTCACCACGTTGTTCAGTGTGTAGCCCCAGGCCTTATTTACTGTACACTGTTCAAACCCTGCTCAGAAGACAGAATTATTAATTTCCTCCTACAGTATCTGAGAGCTTCACAAACATTACTTATCTTCACAAGGTGTTGTGGGGGGGGGTATTATTCCCATTTTATGGAGGGGGAACTGAGGCATAAAGTGATTAAGGTCCAAAGTACCTCTTCATTTTAGTTGCCTGATCTAAGACAAGGCAAGATTTTTCAGAGTATTTACCATTATATATTCAGGCTCTGCTCCCACAGACTACACTTGCAGCTGTGATTGCTCCACGCTCTGCAAATTAGACCCCAGGCTCTCAAGTCAGGCACCCAGAAAATGAGGAACACACAATTAGTGACCACTTGTGGAAAGTTCAGTTTGAGTGAATTGCCCAGCAGTACATGGGAACTCTGCGGCAGAGGCAAGGATAGAATTCAGGTCTCCAGAGCAGCAGTCATCTGCTTTAACCATGAGATCCTCCTTTTCTCTTCCTGCAAACCTCTGCTTCATTCAGTACACACCTGCCAAGTTTTGCAACAAATGAGGTAGAGGTCTTACAGGCAAGTCTCCTGTACAACACAGCCCTGAGTCTTCCCCAAAGCAAGTCCATGCTGTGCACTGAATGAGGCAGGGGTTCTGTGGGAAAAAAATAGTACTGTATGTGATCATGAATTTAAAGACTGGATCATAATGTGTATGCACAAGGGGGCCAAATTAAGGTAGCACAGACAACCTTCATTCTGGCATTCCTGTCTCTTCTCCACCTCTGGCTCCTTGATCCAGTCCCATTCTCCTTGCCTACCCTGTCCCAGTCTCCACTCTTCAGGCTTCTCATTCTAGTCCCAGTCTCCTTGCTCACTTAGTCCTAGTTTCTCCCTCTGGCAATGGTGCCAGT